CCCATTAAAGGGTATTAATAGGCATTAGAACAATTTGCTAAGTGCGACGTTATTGTTGAAAAGGCGGCTGTTAGCTGTTGTCTCGCGATCGAATCGAAAAAAACTCATCGGGTCGTACTTATAAAGAGCACTTAACTTGATTACATGATGTTGTATGGTTGTTCGACGCCATGGTAAAATGGTAAGGTGAGGGTACACGGCGCGTGGCAATGCGTCCTTCAAAAATCATGTCACGTGGCGGTAAGCAATAATTATGGATTGCTCACTAGATTATCATATAATATACAGTCACCCTTTAGAATACAGTGAAATCTGTTCAATAGGATAAGACCTAAAATCGAAGATTTTTTAAGTTTAGCATTTAAACAATCAGTCTATCGTTTTCTGCAGTAAAGACAATACAGCTTCCAAGCTTCCAAGTCGTCGGATTATAACCAACTGAAGACAGTTGCGCTGTGAGTTCTCACCAAATTCACTGTTGTTAGAACGCTGATTTACTACCGTGTGGATCACACTAAATTAAATAAAGCGCTCAAACAAAACAACCCATACAGTAGAATTTATAGCGCGATTTAGTACCAGGGTACCCTCAGAGATTTTCATTAAGAACAAATTAATAATTATTTTACCTTAATTTTTTTTTTATGGACTTGTTCCTTTATACACGGAAATTTTGCCAACATCCCGTAGTGAGAGAGACACGTGACTCAAGAAACTGAACGGTAGTTATAATTAACCAATTCCTCTTTGAGATTGTTCTTTCTCTACTAAAAAAAAACAACACAAAAGCAAATATCAGTATAACTACGATATTTAAATACATAAAAGAAGATTTTGCAACACTTATTTTTATAATTGGATATTATGTTTATTAATAAATTTGCAAACACGTAGAAAGCCTCTCTTAATTTTTAAAATCTATAATACTCGTATAATCTCTCTAATAAATCTGATTGACATTTTGGCTTCGCGTTAGTATACATATTTTTTGACTCGGTTTAAATTTGACGCAACTGTTACATTTTGAGAACTTAGTGCCTATGGTATAAACGAGAACTACTTATGTTATTGTTTCTTTGTATTTTTTTTCTTCGAGCATAATGTATTCTGCTTTAGTTCCATTTTCAAAAACATTCAAGTTCTTTTTTATGAAACAATACATATTCGAGATTTTATTCAAGATAATTTTATTTATTTGGGTTAGACGAAACTATTTACGTCATACGTGTATGTATATACGTCACAAGCGTATGATGTAGTTTCCAGTAGGCGAAAAAATTTTAAATTAGTCCAAAATAACATTTCTTTAGTCTCCCCGTCCTTTTTTCCGAGAACAAGAACGTTATTATCTCCGATATCCGAGAACGTCGTTATACTTTTAAAAATATTGTCATAAAGCTAAGCACTATTTTGACCGCCATAATATAGAAGAAGGGAAATTGTATGGATCTATATTTAAGAAAGCCTTTTTATTATATTTCATTAATTTTACATTCATATTTCTATACTGAAAAACATTCTTAATGAGAAATGTATTTTCATCAATGCCTGAATATTGATGAAAATACGCTCTGTAGTAGTGAAAAATTAAGTACTTGAAAACTTCGTTAGTCCTGTTAGCTCCTGGGGTAGCTCAGTGGTTGGATTCAAATCCCATCTCAGAGTACCAGGGATAAAGTGGATTTTTGGAGCATTTTTCATTAAGAATATTTTTCAGTATAACATTGTGAATGCAAAATTGGTCATATACATATAACTAGAACATATTTTTATCCTTATCAAAAGTTTAAAATATCTGTAAAAATATTTCTTTTGGCTTTTTGGGTAGATTGCCTGAACATTGATGAAAATACACTCTGCTGTAGCGAAAAAGTGACAAGATAGCTTTTTTTATATAGAAGTAGAGTTTTACATTCTGAAAAAATTCAGGAGACAACTTACAGTTCAAGTCATCCTTTATTGATATATTCGTATATGAATTTGACTTACGTAAGTCATCAAAATACCATAAACTACTCGTACGAATTCATCACCTGAAGGCCTATTCTATTTCACCAGCATAGCTAGGCAATACTTTGCTAGTGGAAAAACCCCACTCACCTTCCAACGCTTTATTTCTAGCCAATAGAGCAAGCAGTACGTCCGGTGGTGGTGGTTCCAGCGTACCCAGCGGTGAATCCAGCGGTCCTTCACGCCGCTCACACTCCTCAAATCCCACATCCATCCCGGCACTAGCTGGTATCACACACGCACTGCAAACATCCGACTACACGCATCCCGCAACAACGTAAACACGGCACCTGTTCGTAGGTACTTCTGGAGGCGTCGCGACGCCCGGACCCACGTGGCGGGACCGCCCACGCCCGCCCCGCACTCCCCGCTACCCCCACCTCCCATTGAGAAGTCATTTTTCACCCCCTGAATCTGATAAACCCTCTGGCCGCGCGCGGGGCCCCCCCGCCCCGAACTAATTTTCCGGAGTCGCACGACACACCCCCGGTGCTTACATCCATCTACAATATTACCCCAGCACGTTATCCCGTTCGCGGGGGCACTTCGTTTATACTCATCTGGTATCACAGTGAAGGAACGGAATGTTCTGAAATTAAAAACGCTTTCATACTTTCTCTTTTTAAATATTTCGTTAGTGAAAATATTTTTTGTTTAAAATAATATTTTAGCTCTACAATTTGCCTTCAAAGGATTCAAATTGCGAACAAAAAATGTCTTTTAAAAAAAGTTGATGAGGATTAGGTAGACGATACGAACGAGTGATACTTAAAATATAGTCTAACTTGGAGGTTGTATTAATGTTATATTTGAATTAGCCAAGTCAAATTAGCGTTTTATCTTGGATGAAAGTTAATAATATGCTGTATCATTTAGGTCTTCTAAAAGTTGTTTTATGTCAAATTAAACCCCATGTCTATTGTATGTTATACAAGATTAAAGGCCACAATAATGCTTTTCTCGCCATTATCTCGGTTTCTACTATGATATTGACGTTTGGTATGGGAGGAAAAATAAATCGAATATTTTTAATATAATATATTTATTTAATCAAAGTATAAACCATTATTATCTGTGCACTTTTGCCATCTTAAAGGTAGTCCATTGATCTCCTTGCCAAAAAAACATTCAGACGGGAATCAATAAAATCTTTAAAGGCGATTTACTGTGCCCCATCAGAGTTGAGTTTTTTCCATTGCAAGATGTTATCCAAATTTCTAACAAAATGGTAATCTGTTGAAGCAACGTTCGGGGACTACTGTGGATGTGTAGGACATTCCAATTGAAGCTCTTCTAATTTGGTAGCTGTCTGTTGTTCAGTGTGTGTGGTCTGACGTTGTCGTGAAGTAGCAGTAGCGTAGAGCAATTGACCAGCCTCGGTTGTTTAACAACTAGTTTTTCCAGCATGGTTTGCAATTGCTGATAATAGACGTCTGCCGTAAACGGCTGGCCAGATTTGAGAAAACTGTAATGAACGATACCGGCACTAGTCCACCGCTTACAAGTAACTTTTTTGGGGTCAATTTTAGTTTGGAGCAGGATTTGGCAGGCATGCCAGGGTCCAACCATTGCGTTGAGCGCTTCCGATTATCATAGAGAATCCACTTTTCATCACAGATAATGATTCTATTTAAAAACCTTTCATTATTGTGCCGGTTAAGTAATGTAACGCAGCAGTTGACGCGGGTTTGCCGGTTTGCTTCACTCAATTCGTGAGGTACCCATCTTTCAAGCTTTTTAATCTTTCCAATTTGCTTCAAGTGGATTAAACCAGTTTTAGAACTAACACAGCAGCTTGCAGCTAACTCGGACGTGGTTTGCGATGGAACCGATTCCACAATAGCCTTCCATTATTTATTTTTAACTTGGGTCGAAATTCTCAGAACGAGAACGTTGGAACCAAAAACGCACTGTGTTTGTTTTTGCGACACAACCGCAAAACACATCATTAACCCTTCGAGCCGTTTCCGCAGCACTGGTACCACAGTGGAACTCGTCTTCGTAAATAACACGATATTTCAAGTTTTCCATTTTTTATAACGAGTAACGTAAATAGGACAAACAGAAGAAAAAAAAACAAATGAATGCCGCCTAACGAAACACAAATACATGTGTAAATATATATAAATGGCTGTATAAATTTGAATTTGGAATTCCCAACCAAGGAAGAGAAATTTTTGATTAAAGTGGCCAGTACGACAAAACGCTAATTTCATATGTAAGGACCTAATATTTTGTGCCAGTTAAAAAATGAGTAATAATTTCAAAATGTAACATTTGACACATTGGTTCTCTACAATTTCTTTATATATACTTAATCACGACGTTTAAAACACCTACCTTTTTAAAACAGCCGTTTAAACATACGGCTAGCCCTCCAATTGAATGGTGTCATTTATTGTACGGCTCAACGTCGATCATATTCTGATAAACATACAGCATCGGTTCTATCGTAGCATTCCGTTCTATTAAATTGCTATCTCGAACAATAAGCTTCGACGTATACAAACTTCCTGTTTATTTATTATCTTCAATGTTATTTTTATATTTTTTTACTGGGGCAAACTATTATTAAAACATCTTTAGACTAAGTTCCCTTACTGCGGTTACTGACGCTAACTGAAAAAATAGAGTTTGTCTCACGAAAGAAATACCGCTTCATTAATCTTATTCCTATGTAATAAAAGCGAAAACATTGCAATCCTTCTTCCGTGAAACGTACTTTGAGCTACGACATGAATGACACGGCATGACTGCACCTACCAACCTAAAAGTTAAAGCCCGAAAGATTTCATTGCTTCTTTCTATATGCCCGCCCATAGATCAAATAGTCAAATCTGTGTACAACCGCAAATAGTGTAAAACATTTCCATAATCTTTATTCTCTGAACGCTCTTTTACTCTTTGGTAAAACATTTTAATGTCATTATTTTTTTATTGTACCAAGTTATTTGAATATTTTGTTATAAAACATGATATCCAATCTTAATATGTTTTCCAAAACAAACGTTTCTGAATGTGAGAGATATAATCCCGATAACGTTTTTAAAAGATTTAAAACCATCGAATTTCCAACATCTTTCGTGGGATTATCGACAACAAAAGTTTTAGATGTTGAAGTGGATTTAAATGTTTCAGCATACCTAAAGACCATGTTTGATAATAAGCTCATGGTAATAAACTTACAAAGTGTTTATAAATCGTGTTTAATTACTTTCATCTAATTCTTCAATGTTGTTTTAGAAATTTACTGATGCTTGGGAAGTATCTGCATCTCATAGAGCCTTTAATATACGTTCTATAGACAATCACACTATAGCAATAACTTTCAACCCCAAAAGTGAGTGTATTTCAAAAGTGAAACAAGTCAAAAATTTCGATAATAGATTTGTTTTTGACTTACGTTTAATTCAAGTAGATGGAAAGCGATGCTGTAATAATGAATTGCACTCGGAAGTGGGACGTTACTACATTTGTGGAGAATTTGAATATTGTACTCTCTCACATTCTCCAGATGTTGTAAATTTCGGAAATATTTTCGTCAATCAGAAAGTTACTAGACATTTCCGTATACGGAATGAATCTCGAGCAACAACATCTAAAATGAAATATGTCAGAATAACTGGTTTTGAAGTTACCCCACAGAAATTTACGATCCCCCCCAATTCATCTAGGCATTTAACAATAGCGTTAAAACCAACATGCTTGTTATTGAAGAAAAAAATAACCTTTGAAGTTCGGAACTGCCATGATATCACTGATGAAATGGAGGAAGAGGATGAAAATTTCTTAACCTATATTATAACAATTGAAGCAAAAGTTTCTTATAATAAAAATCCAAAAGAAGTATTGGTAGAATCATTACACAAGTTAAAAGAAAATCTTACCAAGTATACATATTTGAATGAAGAACTCAAAACACATAATAAAAGGAAAGATATCGCTCAAACATATCTTGCAATATCTAAAAAATCGCATTTCAAAAAAACAATTACAGAGAAATTTAGTACTGGAAAAGACAAATGCGTGTATAGCAGTACTACAGAAATAAGGAAATCAGGATCTCAGTTCTGTAAAAATATTCCGGTAAAAATTACTACGTATCAACTGTTTGATATCTTATTTACTCCTTTTGACCTCGAATTTGGACGAATTGGGTTATCTACCTATGGTGAAAAAGATCTCACTATCAAAAACAATAGCAAATACGATATTACTATAAAGTTACTTAAAGATGATTGTGTACTTTATACAGAAAATAAGCTTATAAACTTATCCTTAAAATTAAAATCAAAAGCTGAAATCAAAGTAGCAATATTTTGCTTGGGCATATTTGAAGGAAACTATGCAGGTACTTTTGAATATGTAATTGATAATAAATACTACCGTAAACATCCGTACCACCTTCAAGTAGGAAATCCTACATTAATGGTATTGGATAAATGTTTGAAATTTGGAATGGTGACTTCTGAATATTTTGTCACATCTGTACCAGTCAAAATAATTAATAATTTCAACGTTGATACTGTATTTCGTTGGGATGAATTACATCTCGATGCACCTTTTGAAATAATTCCTATGAACGGAATCATTCCAAAACAGTCTTGCAGGATATGTGACATACTGTATGTTAGTAAACCCACAAAATCAAAAACTCATGAGGTTGACTTAATGACCGGAAGTAAATTGGCAAAAACTATCCCTCTTGAACTAAACGTGGTTACTCGGAAACTTTCAATAAAATTTTTGCAAACAGCTGTGACTTTCAAAGATATAGCTTTGAACATAGAAACGATGGAAAGAGTGAAATTAGAAAATTCTTCTCGAGAAATTGCTTTTTTTTACATTGTGGAACCCTTGATACCAGGTTTTCGGATTCAACCTATGTCGGGAACAATACGACCAAAAATGGTTATAACCTTTGAAATTATTGTGAAAATATCTTGCATCTTAGAGTTCGCATTTGATGTGTATGTTAAAATTAATAACAAAGAAAATGTTATTTTACCGGTAAGCGGAAACGTAATAGAACCTAAATTAGTAATACAACCTAAAAATATTTATATGCCACGTGTTCCATGTGAAATGATAACATTCGTTCCAGTAACAATTCAAAATACTAGCACTTTAAAAAGTTTTATTGAAGTTTTGGATACAGGTGACGATAATATTTTTAACATTTATATTGCTCAAGGAAATGAAAAACTAAGAGTGTTTCAATTTGAAGTGGAAGGAGGGCAATCGAAAACAATTTATATTAAAGTTTATGATGTATTTCGTCGAGAATATGAAATGTATATACCTTTTAAGGTTAATGGATTACTCGGTCCACCGGACTCTAATTCTTTGTCAACGGATATTCGCAATTACATTGGAGAATACGAACGGTCAGTTGTATATAATTATTTTTAATGATTACGAGACGTACTATAATAGCAATGAATTTATTTGTGTGTTTTCAGATCTTATGACAATAACCCTAAAGTTAAATTAAAGACTGTGAGTAAAGACATAGCATACTGCCGTATAACGGGTGTTATTACAGTGCCATGGATAAAATTTTCAGAAGAACATTTTGAAATTGATCTGAAAACAAGTGCCAGTAGTAATATTAACTTTTCTATGAAAAATGTGTCTAAATATAGCATATATGTAACAATTTTAACCTCAAAATTGGGTCCAAATTTTTCATTAGATTTACAAACAGAAGAGAATCATTCAATAATAAATGAATCTAATATAAAATTCGAGTTAGATCAGCAAAAGGAAGCATTATTCACATTAAAATTTCATCCTAAAGGTCATGGAAAATTTGTAACTACAGCATTACTATATCTGGACAAACACATGACAATACCCTACCATAATCTTACCTTCATTGGAAAACGGCAAACTCCGACTTTAACCCCTAGCACATATAGAATTGTTTTTCCTCCATGTTATGTAAATGATGAAATATCTCGTACTATCACATTAATATTCGAAGATAATTCTGATGATGAAAGTTTTTCTTGTATGTCGAAAGAAGAACCAAATTTAGTAGTGGAATTTCTCAATTTTGAAAATATAGAAAAAGAGACAAAGATACAAACAATAGTCACAGTACAAATAAAAGTTTGTTGCAAAACTACATATGCACGAAAATTGGTTCTTTCCTTTAATCACACTTGTGGATCGGGGTGTGATATAGAAGTTTCTTTCTGTTTCACTTATTGTCAGTTGACCCTACATACACTTTCTATAGTTAAGCCACAAGATAATCCATATCCATATTTTCCTCTTAATTCACAAACTAAGTTGTATGATTACTTAGATGCAAGTTCAAAATTCCTAGAAAAATGGATGTTTCAACAAGGGTTCCGTAGAGATCTATATCCAATAATACCTGACACATTTCATGCAATTTCTGCAGCTATTTCCTCGTCATCGGCTGCCACAAAGAGTAAAGGAATAAATGTGTCCTATTTAAATTTTGTAAAAAGAATTGCCGGTCCTCTTATGAAACATATACGCAAAATTGTGTAAGACACTGTACTTTTTGTTTGAGATTTATAGAACACTAATAAGTATTTCAAATTTTGGCTTATTTTTCAGAGCTCAAGGAGTCGACGAGTCTTTTAAATATGTCAAAGAGGTTCATGATACTTACAAAGAAATAATTAATTTATTAAGATCTCGTGGTGCTGATTTGTGGGATCTTCAAGGAAAATTTTTATTAAGCTATGACCAATTTGTAATTTACACAGAAAATGTAACACCAAAATGCAATGCTGATATTATTTTAAACAAAGAATTGCTCTCTGACGTCAACTTATTTCATAGATTAAATAAACAAAGCTGGATAGATTTCATTCTACAAAGTTATAAAGTTTTCATTATGGATAGTTGTTTTTTTGAGTGTGTATGTGTTAGCTCACAGCCCAGAGATATTATCAAGGTCTTGATTGATTGGTACAATGAACAAATGGCTTTACAACACCGTAAATTAAGGGGGAATAATAAACCTGTAAAAAATATTACAAATATTACTACAGATTTGTCGGATGGCATAGCAATAGCATCTGCTATTTTAAATTACTGTTCATTTCTTAGTGTTCATTTTTTAGTCTTTTGTGAAGTTGATGAGAATGATCGAGTTGGTGGAATAATAAATAACGCTTGTCTTATCATAGAAGCAATGAATTTACTAAGATTATATTTCCCTTTACAAAGTATCGACTTTTTAGAGCCTAACTTCATACAAATGTTATTTTTATCAATACATTTGTACATTGTTCTACCGATGTTCATGCCTAAAGATATTATTAAATTTAATCCACCACTTCTACGAAGCTCTACACGACAAATAGTTATTTCTCCAACGAGTCAAGAGTCATTAATTTTTAATTACGTGATTTTAAATAATCAACGAAACAGTTTTACTGTTGAAAAAGCACCCGCAGCAGATAATGGGAAAAAAATGTTCCTTAATATCAAATTCTTAGCAAATTATACTAGCGAAGACTCTTGTATTCTATTAGTTCATGGTTACAATAAAACTAGAATATTTGATACTTACATGATATTCCTGCTTCAAGGTCATATAGGATTATTAAATCCAATAAAGAAATGTAAAGTAACCGGTCCATTGTATCGACCCAATAAAGTTGATGTGTTAGTATCGTCACCGTTCTCTCAACCGGCTTCATTTCGGATATTTTTAACGGATATCGAACCAACTATACCAGTTAATTTCGAAGAAAATTTAAGACCTAAATTTTATATAAGACGAATTAATCTTATCGATAAAGAAATAAATCTAAGTGGTCTACCGAAGGAGTCAGGTCAAGATGTTATAGAACATAAGCTCTATTTGCAAATGATATGTTTGAGTACACAGATTGGCAACACATGGATATGGTTCAGAAGCGATATCGGGGAATTTTTCATCAAAGTAATGTCACAACCTCGCTGGGATTTAGCTATTGACACGTTACAAACCAGAGTGAAATCTTGGCCAATGGACCCTTGCAGTTGTGGTGAAGCTTGCGAGTGCTACAGAACTGCCGTACTAGTGATACCGCATCGCAACGAGTTAATGCTGAAGTCTTTACGTTATGCATTACTCGAATATGCATCTGATATAATGTTACAAGTATACGATCGACTTATAGGTAATATTTCACTTTGCGACATCCTTTGAAAATCGAATTTTTTTCTTAACCGTTGTTCTACAGCTAGAATACCGTTACAGGGACACCGACGGGGAAAATGATTCTCGGTATGCTCTTATCCGAAGGTGGAACGAATATGTCTGACGTTCAGCATATTCTTCGAAACGAGACGGTATTTCGTGTGTCATCGCGTGCGCTGCTCCCACGCATCGAACGAGTTAGGCTCTCTCAACATTCGGACGAAATGCTCGCACTACCAGTAACTATCGCCATCGGCGATAGATCTGAAAAATACTCTGTCACTTTCGTTTCCGATTGTGGAATGGATATAAGAACTTATAGAATAATTTTCATAGAAAACACAGATGGATCTTAAGGTAAAAAATATATATATTGTGGCAAAGGGCCCGTTTCACAAACATAAAATTCTTTAAAATCTAATAATTGATTTAACAATTATGTTTTGTCATTTGTAGTAACACCGAGGTTACCGAGTGAACCGATTGCAGTTGCATTTTTTAATTGACAACTACAACAAAGCGGCAACCTTGAAGGCGTTACGTAATATATATTTTTTATTATTATTTGTATTACATCCTGATTTGTATAATAACTTTTATTATATAATATTCTTTTAATGTTATATGATCGCAGCCCACTAATAAATTCCAACATTAAACCAAGTATAGATAGGACGAAATTCTAACTTACTTTGACGCGTGTAACTTGCTGATATTTTTGAGAATGATATAATCTATATATTAGAGTAAATTAACAACAAGCAAAAGCTGAAATTTTCACTATAAAAGTTCTTTGTTCACACCCTTATCATATTGATATTTGGTGGTATCTCATTATTAAATTACATATTCAAATTAATATGAATAATTCAAATCCTTTTTTATTTACAATAAAAAAACAGGTATAGATAGATATTTTAAAAATCAATAGAGGGAATTATTTATTGAAAGAACAAGAAGTGAATGAAATCATAAGATTATGAATGCAATTTTAGAGAATATTTACTTATAATATTCATAATTCATAACCTCGAAATGATGAATAGTTGTTATAAAACTATGTATGTTCTGCATAAATTAATAATTATGATCTTTTTAACGTGTGATTTTTTTTATATATTTCTTTTAGTGTATACTCTAAAAAATATATTCTAATTTAATTTTATCCATAATTCATATACGCATTTATTTCGACAATTACAATAATCATTATTTTATTTTATAGCATTCCATTTTATTGTTTCGCCCAAATATTTTGGAATACTAAATGATTTTGTTAATAAATTCTGATTATTAAAAAAAATGTTTTATTTTACGTTGTTTTTGAAGTATGTTATTTTAGTAGTATAAAATTATTTATGTATGGGTATGTAAAATTATAACAATATACCGACAGCTTAAGCGTAGACCGTTGTTATTTTAAAAGAAAAGATAAATTAGGCAAGAACATATATTGGCACCACTTTTACGTATAAAAAATAGTACAGGACAGCATTAGTAAATAATAACAAAAATTAAGGAAATATTAAAAAATAACTATAAAAAGCCTTTTTAATGATGCCTTTTACTCAAAAAAGATGATAAGGCTATTGGCAAACGTAATAAGACTGTAGGTATCTATCTTAAACGGGCGTTCTATAAAACGGTTAAAAAGAATGAATTAGAGATACTGAGGGGCTACTCTGTTTATATACGAACGAAAATTACACAAATTTCGAATTGTTATTACAATTTTTTTTTAATCATATGCGTTAATATTATCTGTGCATCAAAAGCAGCGTCGGGGTCCTACCTCCGTTTCATTATTAATTATCGAAAAATGTGTTCATTTAGAGTCGTATTAGGGTTTCGAAAATAGACGAATTTTCATTTTCGGAGAAACAGAGTAGGCCTTCAGAATTACGCTTAAAAATTCTCATATAATTAATCGAGAGATCTGCCCTGCCGAAATTCACGTCATTAAGTTCAGAAATTATATTGATTCCATTATTTGTATAAAAGAACAAAATAAAATTGATTGAATTTATACTCACTTCACTTCACTTATGTCACTATCGAAATGAATTCGGGCACCTGAGTGAATACTAAATCTGGTTTGGATTCTTCTTAGAGAATCGCACGGCTGTTCTTAACATGTTGATAGCTGTGACACGTATTCTTAAGTTCAATCTGTAGCAGTTTTCGTCAATGCAGGTGAAATCTAAAAATAAGTACGTAAAATAGATTTATTATTTTAAATACATAACCAACAATAGCTCGGAGTTATTCTATTTTTAATGCTTTGGTAAATTTCATTAAAAAACGAAAATGAAAATTAAATTCGGTGAATAACGAAATAGATTTTATATTTTCTGTGAGGAAATAGGTACTAGCGATCTAACAACCTGCAAAACATTTCTCAATAATGATAGTACAATAATTAAAAACCTTTCATCACCTATTCTAAATATTAGAGATCTACTTTTTTCTTTATAACTTTTTTATTACCTGTAAGTTTATTTCACAGCCATAAATAAAACAAAAATGAAAATGAAATATTTTAAAGGACTATAAAAATTAACATTATCCAGCGATGTATGTTTTTTTATATATGTTGACCAATATTTCCATCAATTGTTTACCGATTTTCAAAGTTCTTTTTTTATTCGACAGTTTAATGGATCGAGGTGGTCTCATTTAAATTTTATCTAAATCGAATCAGTAGTTTTCGTTTTATAACAAAACTAAATACGTTTTTCGCCATATATCAACTAAATATTTCGATGATATGTATTGTGGTTTTTGTATCTCAGCTAAAAAACAAAAGATTGCGTATTTTGAATTCATTCAAAATCTGAAAGGAGGATTTTTATGTTCAAGGAGAAGAAACCCAGCACAATAAGGGATAAAAATGGGATTGGAAGTATTTATAGGGAATTAAAATGTTACCATAGCAACCATTGTTTACTATTTGATTTGACATTGCAATAAATCTATCTAGTATTATTTATAAATATTTTATTAGACAGCACTAAAAATAAGTAATCAGTACAAAACAAAATATTTTTAAATTTCAATCTTTAAAATATTTCAGCGCAATTATTTTCTTTCCTTAAATAAAATTCTGTTTATATATTTTGAGCTATTCTAGATGACGTTAAGTATATATCTACATCACACTGTTTTGATATAGGTCGAGTTTTAAAATAAAATGTAGTAAGAACTAGATGGCACTTAAACTAAACTGCGTTATCGTTTTGTTCAAAGAAGATTACGTAGAGTTTTTAGTTAAGTTTTCTGTGAACTTTAGATTTGTGTTTTTCTTTCCATCTGTATTAAAATTTGATAAATAGCTTTACAATTCCAGAGATAAAGAACTAAAATATATTGGATATAGTCGGTTAATACATGTATAGCTCTTGCTGAACCTTATATAAATAAATATAGCTTTTTTGCTGTAGTGTCTGTTACTCTCTCATACCTGACCTACTAAACAGAGTTGACTTGAGATAGAACTTCTTCTTCGAATTCGTTTTATACTTGATAAAGTGAACGTGGTTGTTAATAAGGAATAGTGTGAGTGGTAAGTTCTATTATACACCGACATTCTTATCTGACCGCAAACTTCCTAGTACACTCATGGGTAGGGTAGTTTGTTACCGCCTTTATTTGGTACGTCCATCAAATTCGGGATTTACCACGCGCTTTGGTACCTTCAACACTTCCCTGTACTATCAGACGCTACACGTCATTGTTTCATCGTGATACCCATATATATAATATATGTTTGGCCATCCAAAGAAAACTAAAATACGTGCTTGCACTATAGAAAACAGACGCCGTCTAATGCCGAGTTCGTTCAGTAAAGACGCTTTGGTACAGAACTCCATCCACGACACCCCAAGCATCCTTCTCCAGCACCACATCTCCAGAGCGTTTATTTTCTTATTTTCTCTTTCACTCAGAGTCCACGTTTCCGATACGTAAAAGAATATGGGAAATATTATAATAGTGCTTGTTTCCCCATATTCTTATCAACTTGTCCATTGCAAACCTACTGATAGATACATAGGTCGCTTTTTATTATCATAAAAGGGTTGAACTAGTTAATTAAAGTTTGTATAAGTTGACAGAAACTGCTGGCGGAAAGCTTGTATTTAATATTTTTAGTGTTACCTATTATATAAAATATATCAATATCACTAATAAAGCATGAAATAAAAACTTTTGAAAAATAAAACCTTCTTCAAACTTTCAAAAAGTTATAAATAATACTTATCTCAAAAGCGACTTATTTAAGAAAATGCTATTAAAGTCGGGCGCCTATAATTTAATTAATAAACCTACAGAAAAACCCTCGCTCGTTCAATACCATTATCTTTAATAATTCGCTTTTTAGATAAGTATTATTTTTCACTTTAACTAAAATAGATTCGTCTTCAAATTTTGAAGACAGTTTTAATTTTTTAACGATTTTTGCCAGAAAATCTTCCGCTTTTTATATTTCAAAGCGACATTATTTCTACCTCATCTAATACTATAATTGATCATACCCGGTAGCGGAAGATGCTATAGACAACTAATTTCGCGGTACTTAGGGTATACCTAGTACCAAAGCTACTATTACAGTACCATCGTGCGCCCGCGCCGACGCGGCGCCGCCTTGACCGCGCCAATGAGCCGTGGACCGGCTATCGCTGACTGACTTATCGACCAACCGTAATATCTACGTCTTAAGAGGACACTAAAACCTAAAATCTATACAAAAAAATAACATCGAAATAGGCCGTGTTTAATAAACCTACCAATTTAAGTAATCTTAGATATAATATCGAGTTGAATTTATGGCTCAAAATCATCAAAGTGTTGAATATCCATTTAAAGACAAGTAAGAATGCACATTAAACAATAGTATAGATAAAAATAAAGTAATTTTTAAATTATATTTAAATACATGCATACAAAATCATTTTGCGAACCCAATATACGATGCCCAACAAAAAGTCCAAAATATTAATGAAGAAGTGTCATGACTTAACATATCGCATTTTTACACAAAATCTAGGTTTAGTAATGAATACTAAAACAGTATCCATTATGTTTTGTCCAATATAGTACGTAACAGTATACTTTCTCTGAATGATGATTATTCTTTTCAAATACTCTTTACTTACAATTGTTTATTATTTTTTATCTACAGCAATGGTGCAGAAAAAAAATAAAAATAAAACTCAAAAAAGCTTAAAAAAGATAGTGCAGCTTATTTGCGCCAAAGAGAAAAGTCAAGTTCTAGAAAAAGATAAGTTTTTGGATACGATGACTGCAGAACAGAAATAAATTAAAAGAGCTGAGGACCGAGAATATTATAAAAAGAAAAAAAGCAGAAAATAAAGTGAAGAAAGCTGGCATGGTCGAACGAGAGAAGAGGAAGAATTGGAAAATGTGTCAAAAAAATAGACAACAAAAAATGTTTGCCAAACATAATTATTAATAACGCCACCACAATCAGATGACGACTGCACCGCAGTACCTTCAGTGAGAAGATAAGCAGGTAGAAAAATCGTTCGAAAAGATAGAGCGAATGCATATCGAAAAATAAAAAAGCAGGAAGAAACTATAACAGAAATGAATCGGAAAAATCCATCTTTGTAAAAAAATGCAAGTACGCTAAAGACTTATATATAGCGAAGTATTATCTATGCAGTTGCAGGAAAAGACTTTAATTTCTTACGTTACCCATATATTTTTTAATTATTTGTAGAAGTTTAAAGAAGTAGACTTTGATTTTAATGAAATTGCACTGATTATAAGACTGTATTAGTAGTAAGAGCATTTTCCTTCAGTACAAACAATTTGGCAATATAAATAAATTACTTTATTATTAATATCTTTGTTTGTAATTTAAATATTTCCTTCCTAATCAAGATCATCATTTCCGGGGACATTACAAATTTCAATAAAACAAGCACAATCAAAGCAATTTTTTAAGAAAAAATAATTTATTACATTAACTAACTTTCGCTCTATTAATGTATTGGTAATGTAAATTTGATCGTAAGAGATTTGCACATTTCGAAATTTCTTATATATTATGCGCTATAATAGCACGTATTTGCGCTATAGTTTTCATTATTACTTATTTAATATTGCTAAACAATATATCCAAGTTGCTTATGAAAGCTAAAATTATGTATATTTTTTTGTTTTACCATCCTTAGAAAAACGTCCCGAAGTGATAGTTTTCTGCAATATATTGACTTAAAAGTAAAATAAAAACAAAGTATAGAATTTTGTACGTTGCCCTTTTAAAATATATTAATATGCAAATTTTGTGATAATATGAACTACGAGTTATCATTAATTTTTTTTATATAAAACCGATCTTCAAATTTGCAACTTTGGTGATTTTGAGCCTTATCGCCTTTACCTAAAAAATGTATACTGTATTTTTTTTTGGTTTCTTCTCATAATTATACTCGTTTATTGTAAGAATAATCGATAAATATGTCTGTCAGTTTATTTTTCTCTTTGTAATACTCGTTGTCTTATAACCACCGCGATAAACAATTCTGTCTATTAAAACACCATACTCAAATCGGTTAATTCGACCTCCTGGTCGAATTAACCGATTAAACTTAGAACACCTCTTTTTGCGTCGGGGGTTAAAAATTGTTTTCGACGATCTATTTAGTCCGATGCGCCATCATCTTCGCTATCTATCTTACAGTCGAACACGTAGATTTCTTTTCATTTTCTGTCTATCCAAATACAGCATCAAATACATCATACAAGATTGTTTCAATCAATTGTGTAATGTACAATAAAGAGTTTTGTATTGTATTGTATTGTGTCTCATCATTTTATTTCTCTTATAGAAAACTAGTCTCACACTGAAACAATACCAGTCATAAAAAAATATTTCTAAGTCCACTTCCATGTCCTGTCTAATACCTTGACATAGGACCAGGTAGCGGAAGCTGATAAATTTTTGAAGTATTTTTCACAATGTAGCATTGTTTGTATAACCAAAGCTAACGATGTAATTATTTTCTACCAAGAAACTAACGATGTAATGGAATCTAGGGTAATTAATTTGACCATCTTCCAAGGATCGTGCCGTCATTAAAATTGGCAGCTGTATGTAGTTCTAATGACAAACGAACTGAGCTGATAATGGAGTCGGAAGAAATGAATTGGAACTTCATGATGGAATATCGTATCATAGCCATGTTTGGACTTGTTATAATAGTCTTGCTATGGACTTCGACCACTATTAGATTTCAGGGTCTTATGATGAAGCCGCAAGATAGGCACTGGCATTCCATGATGGAATATCGTATCATAGCCGTGTTTGGACTTGTTGGAAAGGTATTGTAATGAAGTTTGACCACGATTAGGTTTCAAGGTCTGATGATGAAGCCGGAAGATAGGCACTGGCATTCCATGATGAGAAGGAATATCGTATCATAGCCATGTTTGGACCTGTTAGAAAGGTATTGTAATGAACTTTGACCGCAATGAAGTTTTAAGGTCTGATGATGAAGCCAGAAGATGGGCACTGGTATTCCATGATGGAATATCGTTTATTCGTTTTAAGACCAAAACTAAATTGTCTCTATTCTGAGCTCAGGTGTAAACTATGTGCTTTTAATTTTAATATTTGATTGTCAAAGTTTAGGGCACTAGAACAGTAAAACTTTTGTATAACTTGCTGAGAAATCAAGTTATGCGATGTTACGGGGAAACAGATTACAGAGTTGCAGTATGACTAGTAGGTGGCTCTATATATGAAACAGACTGTTCAAAGTACCAGTTTGTCGAACTCAGACAAAACATACGCCAGCAGCGAGAAGAGACGACATTCACCGACATTTTGAACGCCTCTCCTTTCCGGTAATTAAGTATATAAAGATAAAGCGTCAACAGTGGCAAAATGTATAATTCTTGTTCGTGGATGAGATATCTTTGGTTCCCTTTGGTAACCTTTTGGCGCCATAAATGTTATACTCTAGTGCGACCTCGTGCAGCTTCCGCCAGCAAGTTAGTATTAGTATATGTTTACTAGAAAGTCTTTCCTGTTCCAGCGCCCCACGCTTTTACAATCAAAGATTATAATTAAAAGCACATAGTTTACACTTCAGCCCAGAAATAGACACAGCTTGAACGATCCATAATTTATATTTGGCTTTACGCGCACTTATCCTATTAATATTATAAAGGCGAAAGTTTGTAAGTATGGATGTATGGATGTTTGTTACTCTTTCACGAAAAAACTACTGGACGGATTTGGATAAAACTTTACAGCAATATAGGTTATACATCAGAATAACACATAGGGTACTTTTTACTGGGAAAACTTCTCACTCCCACGGGATACCGACTTCCACGCGGACGAAGTCGCGGGCGTCCACTAGTTAAATAATATTTTTCTAGTGTTTTTTAAATTATTAATTTTTATATACCTTATTTACATACCTATATGAAGGTTTTAGTCTGCGTTTATAACCAACTTCAGAATCGGAAATAAGGTTCAATGTTCGACAAGTATATATTCTTTTTTTTTATTTTATTCAGAGGTCCTCTGAACGTGGTTCTTGATATATTCATTAATTGCATTAAGTTGTTCTATTTATCTTACTAATGAAAATCCTTGCGATTCTATCAAGTTAGTTTTACTAAGAAATACTTAAAATATTTGAAACATGTAAACTTGGTTTTACATTTTTCTAATCATGAGAAAGTTCTGTTTTAAATTAATAGCTATAATTTTCTAACTACCCTTAAAGTAAATGAGTAGTAGTAATCTGTGAAATGTGGACTCTCTATCATTCAGACCGCAAAACTATCTGTTATTTGCGATAAAGAGGCACAATAAGTGTCAGTTTAATCTAATTAAAAATCAGAGAACAAGTGACCCCTAGGCGAAGGCGTGAAACATGCGTGATTTTTATGTACCTACCTATGCATGAATATTTTCATTCTCAATCATGACCCAAATCACAGACTCTTTAAACATCCTCGTAATTATTGTAGATGCTGATAACTAAAATATATACATAAAAGATTACGATTTACGTCAAAAATATAAAATTTTTGCGCAGTTTTTGTTTGCACCTCAGATAAACGACGATCTCAAGTTTGCGTAGTAGAAAGCCGATCTGCGCTTGCGCCTATAAATCTACCTCGTTCCGGCCGTACCACCACCATTATCTCACTGAACAAGATCGCGACAACATCAAACGTTCAGCCGCGATTAACAAACTTCAGTTTCTTTTATAAATCAGTTTAAAATATAACATTAATTATTTTGCAAATTTAATATATTAATATTCTGTGATTAGTGTCCTTAGTGTGATAATGGATTCACAACAGTTTCGGGACTTTGGGAAAGCCGCTATCGACTTAGTGGCAGATTATATTGATAATATAAGGACACGGTAAGAAAAAATCTGTTTAAAATTAATTAGAATACTTCGAAATCAATAAACTATATGTTAATAATTTAATTTGATACGAAACCGGTATAATATTTATTTAAATAAATATAATTTTTCATTCGAAAACATATGCCGGTAATGTGTTTGCGATTGATCAATCGCTTCTTTAATATAGAATAAAGACTTCATAAACTCGAAGTATTGTAATATCAGATACAAAAGAACTTTTCTGTATATTATGTCGTAACTATTATATTTAATTCTTCTATTGAAAATATGTCATTTTTCATTATTAAGTATATGTGCAGTTATTTGCACTGACTTACAACCTTTTGAAAATCTACTTCATTAATTTATAAAAATTTTAGCCATTGAACTGAAACATATATCCATTATTCATCTTAATATGAACTTATATGAATTACGCGAGTTTCTACTATTTGTTTGTATAAGTTTTTATCTTTATCTGTAAGGTTTTGCAGGGAAAGTTGCTAATTTAATAACTCCGATGGAAATATCTGTTTAAATTATTTTAATGAATAAACTCATCAGTAAGTCAACACAGGCTATTAGTGTGCGATAAAAATACTGGTACTTTAACTACATAATCTCTTAGTAGGTATTTATTTACGTTCCCTATTTACTATCACTTTGTAGGTTCATTGCATTTTTATCGTTTTGTTTATTTAATTTATAGTGTGACAATTACAATGAGGAAGTATTAAAAAAATAGTTCCCGAAATCAAACTAGATGTCACTACAGTTCTTTCTTGATTTCTCCATAACAACCCTTCCGGTTTTCTTTCATGTATAAAAGTAAATTAGTTTTCAAAACTCAATAAACAACTCATATTCTATTTGTAAATTTTCGTATTTTTCGTATATGTAAGTTTCGAATTTTGCAAATTTCAGTTTTTTAATATGTTAGTTAAAAGGAACGGAAATTACTATCTTTGGTCCAATCGTTTTCTGCAAAAATCAACTTTTGCTAGAGTCGCCATCTAGTGGAGGTGCTTTTTTAGTGCTTTCTTTTTTTCTTAAATACTTCCTCATTAATCAGGCAACATGATTATTTATAAAAATGACTAGCTTTGCCACCAGTGGCTTCGCCTGCTTGGTTAGGGAACTGTTTAGCGGGTTTACTGTTCTGTTTAGTAATATTTGAAATAAAAACTTTTTATAAAGACTAGAACCGATTTCAAACTTTATAAAAATGATAAATAATATTTATCTTAAAAACGATATATTCAAGAAAATGCTACTGAAGTCAGGCGGACACTTTCAGTAAGGTATCAATTAAATGATGGGCGCCCGATTTCAATAGCATTTTCTTGAATAGGTCGCTTTTAAGATATTTATAACTTTTTTAAAGTTTGAACTCTGTTCTACTTTTAAAAAAAGTTTTAATTTATATCACTCACTACACAGGCGAAGTCGCGGAGAAATAACTAGTTTAATAGAAATTGGTTCACAATACAAGAAGAAATTGATGAACATACCAACTTCTATATATACCTACTTTACTCATTCATACCTACTATCTATGACTTTCATAAAAAAATATACATCAAAGAGTAAAAATTCGTTGAAAATAGAAAATCTTCCTTTCTGATTTTAAATGAGTTCTAAATAGCAATGTAATTTTTAGTTATTACATATTATCTTAACATTTAGGTGATATTTGATAGAAAGTGTATATTGATTTGTTATAAAAGGAAAACTACTTATTTGATTTCGATAAGTGGGACCTCCTCGATCCATCAAGTTGTCGAATAGTCAAACGGTCAACAATTGACGAAAATATCGGTGAACATACATAAAAAAACATACATCACCGTCAAAAATATAACCTCCTCCTTTTCGATTTTGATGTCGGTTAAAAAGAAAGTAATGTTCAGATAATTTCTGTGACGAAACGATGAAGTAAAAATATATTAACGACTAATCAAAAAAGCTAATTTAATATAAATTAAAGTATATATATAGTATTTGCCGAGCATGAACCGCTAAAAAAAACGTCAAAGCTTTTTTGTTATTCTCAAAATTTTATTTTATTATATGCGATTATCGACGAAAAAAAATTCATAAAAATATAATTTCTTCTTGGAGGCAACTGTTTCAAAGCAAATGACGATATCTATTTTGATTTCATTTTTTAAATACTTCTTCTTCTTTTATTAATGGCTTATGTGCGCATATCACACAATTCTGCCAATATGAAGTGAATAAATTAATTTCTACATATAAAATAAAAATGAAATTAATGAAAAATGGTCTTTCTTTACAAACTACCATTATTTTTATTATATACTTCCTCATTATCAATATGAATGATAAATTACGGCGATTACATTAAGTTAAAGTGTCGCATGACGTCACGCTTTTGTATATTTCTTACGAAGCTGTGACGTAACGAGCCCACAGTCCTAAACTTTAATGCTTGTTCACTAAGCTATTTCTTTATAATTAGAAGCAAAGAAAATAAGTAATTAATATTTTTCTGTTGTCTTATTGACGGACTAAATAGTATTTTTTTACCCAGCCATAATCCGTATACGATCTTAGGTATAATGCTTCAAAAGCGGAATGTCACTCACTCACTCACTCAAAAAATTGGTACTGACTAAGACGAGACGTTGCGGTTGTTTTATGGGGTTTATTCTCGATAATCCTTTTGTATATTAATTATTTTCAATTCAGAAACCAATGATAATAGTTCTTACATAGCAGATGACTGCAAATTACTCAGTGTTGACACGAAAGACAAACACGAATCATTCCACTCATTAAACAATTATTCTAATCATTGCCGCATTATTAGAAACAATGCTAATAAGGATACGCCTATGAAACGCTATCAAATTTAAAACGCAATGTGCCTCCCATATAATTGTTATAAGCTAATAAAAGAGACAACACTTTTATAATTTTGCAACACTGAGCGTTTAAATCTACGTCACCAAAGTTACAATCCTTTGTTTACTTACCAGATTAGGGTTCCTTAGATCCTTGTTAGAAATTTGAAATTATTAAATATGAATTCTATATTTTTAAAGTAGTACCCGTTAAAAAAATGGAGGAATATCCAATGTTCATGTATTAGAAAATTGGATACGTTTCATTTATTTAGCGCTCGATTTTTAATAATTTTTATACTAAATTTTGCAAGTAAATATAATCCATTTACTATTAAACGAAGACGAAGTTAGTAAAGGGCCGCCTAGAGAAAATTGTCAATGTTAGAAATCATAAAATTCAGACAATTATATATTGAAACATCGAAGTTTTCTTAAATATCATGTTGGGCCTCTAGCACTAGTCAGATGACTAGATTTCATACGTTTAAATAGATTTCAAATATGTATTTAAAAAACAACTCATTTAAAAGGTCACTGATTTATCGACGCACAAGACCAACTATTGGACGGATTTAACTGAAATTGGGCTCAAAAATAGCTATTATAATATAGACGTTCGTCAAACAAAGGATAATATTCGATCTCCGTCCAAGATGCAAGTGCGTAAATTTAAAGCCGGAAAACCTATTACCATTGTTTGAATTTTTTATTGGCAGATTTTCTATACGAAACTTCTAAAATAGCTTCGTCTAAACAGTAGGAATATTTGGATTATAGTGGCACGCGATTCTACTATCTACCATCTCCAGCATTAAAATACCATCATCGATAACTATATAATAAACTACCTACGAAATGGAGGGTTAGCGATTTTATTGTATATTTTTCTTATTTGCAGGGACGTCTTGCCATCTGTAGAACCAGGATACTTAGTAGACAGTCTCCCAGAAAATGCACCAGAGCAACCAGAAGAATGGCAAGAAGTAATAAAAGATTTCACTGAGCTTATCTTGCCTGGTGTAAGTTAACTTGTTTTATTTTGTAATGTTTCGAATATAAATATAATTATCGAAATATTGCTGTGGAAATATTAATACATCCGAAAAGGTCGACAGAATTCTGTCTCTTTCTTCCAAAGACATGATAAATATATTTATTTATTAACTTTTAAGTTTACATTATGTCGCCTTAGTAGTTTTTGCCTTATTCGTACATGATTGGAAGAGGATTCAAGTTCTGTACTTTCCTTAACCTGGACAATATAATACGTAAATCTTAATTTATATACTAGGCTTTAAATTTAACTATTTATCGAAAAATCACAAAATTTAAATCAAGTGTAGATTTTATTTTTTTTAAGCTATCGTCATCAAATAGTGGTAACGGTTGATGACCTCACATCTACGGTAACAATAATAATTGTGCTATTGTTAATTTCTCATTTCACACGCTAATTCTATGCAAGTAGACATAATAATGTTGGTATAACAATAGTTATAACATTATGTCTAGTAATATTTTTTATTAGAAATATCTGATTATTCGTTACAGACGACACACTGGACTTCACCAAGATTTCACGCATTTTTCCCCTCTGGTTCATCCTACGCCAGCATAGTGGGGAACATACTGGCTGATGGTTTGGGCGTCATCGGATTTAGTTGGGTTGGTACACGTTAATTTAGTCATACTCTGCTATAATTTTCTTATATACACCCTATGAACTCCAGATGATATATTCTAGAACTAATAATCGATCATTAGTAACTATTTAAATAAATAATCTCTAAGAAGTAGTCACAAAAACGTAATTTCTTAGCCTATAGATTACGTAAATAATACATAATTATTTTTTTTATTAATAAAGTTGGCGAGTCCTGCATGCACTGAATTGGAGGTGGTAACAATGAATTGGCTTGGAAAACTACTTGGACTCCCCGAAGAATTTCTCAACTGTTCCCCTGGCCGAGGAGGTGGTGTTATTCAGGTAAAGTACACAATAAATATAATATACTGGTAAAAAATAATATTCGCGTAGAAAAAAAATAGAAAAGGGTGTAATGATTAATACTTGTGAGTATAAGAATTCCAAATTTTCATATTTGTTAAATGTAAACAAACTAACTGAAGTCTCTTTAGAACTTTCTTAAATAATCGTTTGAATTGAATGAACTTTGTACGTTACGTTATATCAAACTTTTTCTATGGCAAACTAATAAAAATGATCAGCAGCTACAACAAACAAGTAAGCATGTTAGGGAACCTTATCACTTATATACCTCATAGCTTTCTATATATTTTTTACAAAACAGCAAGTGTAACTTTTGAAGCATCTCATATACTAGTTATATTGACGAATTTGTCCAGTGGGACGGAACCCTTATTATGCGAATTCCAGTTGTACTCGGCCAATTTAATATTCATTAAACTAAATGATATTTTTTTTACAGGGATCAGCCAGCGAAGCAACTCTTGTCGGTTTACTAGTATCCAAGGACAAGGCTGTAAGAAGGCTAACTAAAATAAATCCAAGTCTTGATGAGGCAGAAATCAAAAATAAACTAGTCGCTTACACTTCAGACCAATGTAATTCCTCTGTCGAAAAAGCTGGATCTCTCGGTTCTATGAGAATGAGGTTACTTAAAGCTGATTCTGATGGAAGGTTACGAGGTGCTACGCTTAAAAAAGCTTTCGATGAAGACATTGCTCAAGGATTAATACCCTGTTACGTCGTTGCAAATCTAGGAACCACCGGTATCTGTTCTTTCGATCCTTTATATGAACTGGGGCCTATATGCAATGAATACAATGCATGGCTACATGTCGATGCAGCGTACGCAGGATCAGCTTTTATTTGCCCTGAATATAGACACTTGATGAAAGGAATAGAATATGTTGATTCTTTCGATTTCAATCCTCACAAGTGGATGAATGTTAATTTTGATTGCTCCGCTATGTGGGTGAAAGATTCAAGCGAACTCGTAAAAGCTTTTGATATACAAAGAATTTATTTAGACGACATAAAGACAGATACTAAAATTCCTGACTATCGCCACTGGCAAATGCCTCTTGGACGTAGATTCAGAGCTATGAAATTATGGACAGTTTTAAGAATATATGGTGCAGAAGGACTAAGGAAGCATATTCGTAATCATATAAATTTAGCACAATATTTTACAAAACTAGTACGCAACGATGATCGATTTATCGTTGAACCAGAACCTTTGATGGGATTGGTTTGCTTTAGATTAAAAGGTGGTGATAAAATAACAAAAAAATTATTAGACAATTTAGTAAAGTCAAAGAAACTATACATGGTGGCTGCCACCTACAGGGGGAGGTATATAATTCGATTTGCAGTCTGCTCAAGGATGATAGTAAAAGAAGATATCGACGTCAGTTGGAGTTTCATTAAACAAGAAGCAGATGTACTCTGCAATGGAATACAGGGTAAAACAAAGATTGCAGCTTTGGAACACATAGAAACAGTCACAATCTGTGAAAAATCAAAATAACAACCGGTAAAAGTACACGTAATGTTTGTCGCCTAAGATTAATATAATGGATATGCGTAAAAGATACCAAATATCTCGTGGTGGTGGGATTAGCTTAATGCCAAAATGAATTTTGTCTATCTAAAATACAAATTTACTGAGAATAGTCATTTAGTTAAAATCCCAACTCCTTTGTGAAATGAAAATGTATCTTACTTGATATGATAACCTATGTTGACCAATTAGTATTTAAGGGTAATTTGATTGTAATATATTTTAAGATCACCTTAAATAATTTGTAGATGATTGAAAAATAATATAGATATAAATTATAAAATGTTCTTTATTTTTTTTTTCTTTTACACAACAATTACTTAGTCGAAAATGTTTCCGAACCAACCAAATTTTTGAAATATTTACTACGCTTTTATACACACGGCTGCACGTCATGTTTCAACAATATGTCGAATTTCTCCAATTTATTTTAAGCTCTAGACTCAAAACATTAAGGTTTAAAATGAAGTTGAATTTGGCTGTTGACTGTACAATTTGACGTGTTACTGATATAAAGTCTATAATATAGAATATCTATCTTTTCTGAATCATCATGCCACCAAATACTTAGTGGTGGTTGGGTCATCGAGTCCTTTGTAAAATACGCGATGACGATCAAGTAATAGGAAAATAAGGATAAAGTCACTAATATTAATTTAAGATCACACTGATTCAACGTATTTGTGAAATATTAATAAATAAAAAACTGACATAAATTTGGTATATATTTTGTTATTTCATATAAAAATCAGTAGAAAAAGTTAACGCATGTGCAAAATTAAAAAAAAAACTAAACGATTCTTGTTATATACAACTGCACATGTTACTGATACAAAATCCATACGAATATCCTTTGGGAATGCAGTGTTTTTCACAGATCACATCCTCGTTGGGCTCTGACCCGTCGTTCTGGCACCACGTACGACCAGGGATATAGAATTCTAGAAAAAAAAAATGTTGTTAATAGGACCCCGCCCGTTTCCTTCATTGGTCTAATTTCCTTCAGCCAAAGTTAGCCTGCAGGAAATTATTACCTAAATTATAAGGCCGCTTTTTATGTTTATTGCTGCTTGTATGCATTCATTTATACATTTTCACAAATTTAATTTGATTTTTATTATGAAGGTACACTACGATAGGCACAAATATATTACCAATTAATATAATTTGTGTAGGTAATAGGCAAAACATAGGAAATACTCGAAGACACAGTTACTATTTAACTTTTCTCTGTTAATTATAATCAACTTTATTAGGTTGAAATTTTTATGAAAATGTAAACGAACAATAATAAACGAACCAAATTCAGTGTATTCGTTTAGCTACTGAGTGAATTAGAATCAGTTTCGAAAATCATGAGCAACATAAGCAGAAGGAGAATGAAGTATTTACTTATTCCCAACATTGAGAACAAAAATAAAATTAGGTTATAGGTACTAAAAAAACATACCAGTGGCGATAGCTTGATGATCCAACTTTCCCTGCGCAGTTAAGGAATTATGTATATCCGTAACACTCTCCGATTTCACAACAGCTACATCTCGGGGCAAACAAATTGCATTATGCGCTAAACTAACCAAAGCAATGGATAAAATCACACAAATTCTGAATTCCATGATCAAAATAACGTGTGGCTCGTTTTTGCAGAAAATTATTCGTCGTTCAATCGCAAATTATTATTGCTGACTTAATATACTCGTAGATTAATTCCGTGCCACCGTACAGGTGAGCAGGAATAATAATGAACGGTGTAAGGTCAAACAGAAGCGCTTGCTTACTTATATGCGACCGCCTTCACAATAATAATGACTGTGACTAATACCAATACACAAACATCGCTACATACTACATTATAAACTCCTTGCCTACTACGTTTAATGACTCAGGCAATTTCACTAGAATATCAATTGGTCTTGAACGAGTTATTATTGTTTTAATAAACGAAAACAACAAACAATGCCATTGGTGTAAATAAGTTTATTTGCATAATATTGAAAATAATGAATTAAATATTCATCAATTTACTGATATATAAACTAAAACGACTTTCGTATTCGAGTGGCTGTATGTACACAGTTTTATTATCTTGAGTAATGCTGTCTATAAGTTCCTGGGTTCGATTGCCGCTCGGGGAAATATTAGGAAACGGACTTTTCAATATTGTTTATTATCTAAGTGATAAATTAACTTCTATATTTGCAAAATATATAAATACGAAAATATTGACAAATAAATAAATGCAACTGGGTGGCATTTCTAACCACTTGCACTACCGAAATTTTAAATAAACTTATATACAATTGACTTTGTAATGGTGTTCAGATTATCAGAGTGGTAAGTTTTACGCTAACGCGTTCACTAGTGAGCGTGTTAAGAATTTGTATGGAGATTTGTAGTTCTTGGTAGTTACCGCTAGGGGCGCTGTATGTAAAAACTTACACTAAGTGCTCTGGGTACCTATATTTAAGAGGGCGCATACTCTAACTTTCAATGAGGAAGTATTAAAAAAAACGAAAGCACTATAAAAGCACCTCCACTAGATGGCGACTCTAGCAAAAGTTGTTTTGCAGGTAACGAATGGACCAAAGAAAGACATTTCCATTCTTTTTAACTAACATATTAAAACACTGAAATATGAAAAGTTCGAAACTTAGATATCAATACAAATACGAATAAGTACAAATAGAATAGGAGTTGTTTATTGAGTTTTGAAAACTAATTTACTTAAGAAAACCGGAAAAGTTGTCATGAAGAAATCAAGAACGTAACGTGGCGACATCTAGTAAGATTTCGGGAATTAATGTTTTTTTTTTTAAATACTTCCTCATTCTCAGCACATGCATTCGTTACTTATTTTTATGATTTAAATATTCAACAACAATATAAAAAGCATTATCACATAACCTTATAAATAGAGCTTCTTTGAAGCTATTAAATGGAAGATTCTCAATGTTAAGAGGGATATTATAAAAAAGCACAATTCACATTCAATAACAGTTATTCCCTGGTAGCTCGATGGCGTAGTAGATAAGCGCCGCGGCCCGCGATCGTAGTCGTTAAGCAACTTTCGCTAGGGACGGTCACGGGATGGGTGACCAAAAAATTATTATCTCGAGCTACTCCGTGCTTCGGAAAGCACATTAAGCCGTTGGTCCCGGCTGCATTTGCAGTCGTTAATACCCTCCAATCCGCATTGGGCCAGCGTGGAGGGTCATGGCACATCCTCCTTAACCATCTATAAGGAAAGCCTGAGCCCCTGCAGTGGGGACGTATAAGGGCTGGTGATGTGAACAGTTATTTTGGAATCGCGCGCTCCTTGGAATGATATCAGAAACTTGTGTTAACCAATTTGTGTTAATATCTTTAAAGATTCAAAGAGAGGTTTGCAAGATTTATTAGGTACAGCACCACATATCACCCCAATATGTATTTTTTTTTTCAACAAAGGCTTTTTTAATAAATGACAAGCCCGTATCTAATAACGGATTCTATTATACGTAAGCGAAGTACGCTGTGAGTACCCCTAGTAGCTATCTTTGATAATCAACGAAGAGCAAATAAAAATCGATTTATTTTATTGCAAACTTTTTCTACCTGATTTTTTCAATTCAGTCTTTCATCAATTATTATACCTAAGAATTTTGTTGAATCGACATTTGTAATTATCTGTTGCTATGGTCGATTTTCAAAGGTAAAGTATCGATTAATTGTATCGTTTTAGTAAAATATATCGATTAAATATAGATACAGTTTTCATGTGAGATCTCAATTTTTCTATCACAGATCCCATCCCTACTTTGATTACTATTAGGTACTTTAGTATTTTGATTACTTTCATCTGTTTTTGCTGAAAAAAAAGTATATTTATATTTATATTGATTAAAAGTATATATAGGAACAGTACTGTAAGCAAGAATTTATATTTGGATTGTAAAATTCCAAACAAAAATGGTGTATTTACATTTTCCTTCCAATCTAACGGAAGAGGAATTAATGCTTCAAGCTAAGTATCAAAAATTAAAGAAAAAGAAAAAGGCGCTGCAAGCTCTTAAAGCTCCTAAACAAGAACCAGAAAAACCCATACTACCAAAACGACCAACAGAAGCTCGTGATGCACGTGAAATTGCACGAAAATTAATAAAAAGTGGAGCAATTCAAGCTATTAAAAGTCCTCCTCCACCACCTCAAAATGCTACTTTTAAGCGACCGCGAGCAGGTTCGGTCTTTATCATTTAAATATGTGTTACTTTAATATTCAATTTTGATCTTTAATTATTTATTAAAATCGAGGTGGTTAATTAGTACATCCAATATGATTTTTATTCCACTAATATATCATTATGGCAAAGAATGTTACAACTAGGTATTTAATTTAAGGTTAACATATTTTGTAACATTGATTGTTATTTTCCTGTAAAAAGTTTCAATTTAGAACCTTTTTACATATTTCATCATCACATTAATGAATATAAATGGTTTAAAGTGAATCAATGATTGGCTTACTGCTCTATTTTAATAATGCAGACAATATGAAATTATATAATATAGAATAATTGCTAATATAAAATACATCTTTTATGTGAAGGGAGGGAAAGAAAGCTCAGTGGTTCTGCTGGAGCTACAGGTGGTGTTGCTTCTTATCAACCCTTCAGTGCATCACAAGAGCCTCCACCTCCAGAAGAGAAACCTGCTCCTCGAGTCAAATACCTTTATGATTCATTCGTGACGGCACGTGACAAGTAATATTTCAAAAACAAATCTAACTATAAATTTTTAGAAGATTCTTTAAATTTTACTGAATTAAAAAACTGTTTATACTTTCCTGCAATCACATTAATTTTCACAAACGTCACAATTATTGGGCTTCAAATTGTTTTTCATTTTACTTTCAAATTTATACCTTTGTGTAAAAAAACACAAACACTAATGTGTTTATAGTTATGCCTTGATTCATTTTCTAGAAAAAAGCTTTATTCAGTTACTGACAAAAGATTAAATTCAAATCTAAATTATATTTCTAGAGAAGAAAAATTACCACGCAATAATAATACTGGTGGAGAAACTCCAAATGCAGCAGCAGTCAAAAGTTGCACATTGCAAGTGGCAGGCACAAAAATTACAGAAGAAGTGATCAGGCGCAGATTAGTCACATTCGAACCATTCACATATGCTCAAGATAATGATGAAGAAAGGTATGTTGGTTCTTACCAGTTTTATTGACTAGCAAGCAGATTAGAGTCGCCTCAAAGGGTGTGACGAAAATGTTCCAGAGCTTTTAAAAACTTTATTTTTCTCTTTCTTGAAGTACTATCCAGTGCAGAGGTCAGGTACTGGAATACTTAATGGTGGCGGGACAATGTATAGTATGAAAATTCTATGCATTACTGAAACTGCTTAAAATGCACAATTGTGAAATGCGGATAATCAGCAGAATTCCTATAAAAATAGCCCCTAAGAGTTTTGTAATGGTTAAAAGTTAATTTACTTTATTATTTTTTATTAATATATTTATCACTTATTATTAGTTCTACTTATTTCATAAAAATACACAAGACTTTTATTTAATGGAACAAACACATTCAGCTATTCTTTCACGCCGACACGTCCAGGTGTTCCAGCTCAGTCTCCACGATGGTTAGCGAGCTTCAACGTACTACTTCAAAAATCAAGCTTTGCTCTCTTTCCCCCTTCTCTCTCCCTCCCCCTTTTTTTCACTCTCTTCCCCCTTTCTCTCTTTCTCTCTCTCTCTCCCCTCTTCTTCTTCTCTCTAATCCCCTCTCTCCACGTCCCTGTCTATCTGTCCTTCCTTCCCTCCAGCTTGTACAGAGTTGGACTTAATGTAATCAGATTAATGATAACAGATTATGATTATAATGTATAGTCCTTAATCATGATTACAGATTACAGAAAATAGTAATCTAGTTATGATTAATAACTATTGATCTGTAATTATATTCTTAATTACTTTTTATGTTTAAGGTAAACACTGAAAAGAAATTAAAAATAAAAACAATCAGTCCCATAAATTGCAAAATTTGGATTAATTATTTTACGAAAAAATCTACTGAATCATTATTATTTACAATATGTGGTATAAATTAGATTTCGATAAAACTAATTTATACAATGGAGTAAAAATTATAAACTAAAAACCAATGGAGTTTAGGAATATCTAACAGTCGTGCTGTTAGATATTCCTAAACTCCATTGGTTTCTTTTTTTACTACTATCAAGAAGCTTTGATATGTGTTTTCGTTTAAGATGAGTAACATATTTTTTTTTTATATTGAATTGTTAAATCCGCAAATTTTTTCTTATTTTGATTGAGAAGATACGCAAATTGCATCTTTTTTAATATTCATGGACCCAGTTTCACAATGAATAAAAAAAAAATCTCTGTTGTTTGTTCATTCTGTCTAATTCCGGAGTCAAAAATTATATATGAAGATAAAAACACGACGTTGACGCCATTTGACATGCGATAATGATATAACTTCAACAAACTTGCACTAAATTATATTATTCTAAATAATAAGTCAACAATAATTATGTAATATGATTACTACCTTATTACTGCAATCAAGATTGAAGATAACATGTTAATCTTGATTATGTATCTCATCATGAATATTATTAATCAAATTATAATCCGATTACAAAAGTAGTTAATTACGTACGCCCAACCCTAGTCTTGTATGTACCATGACGTACTGTAACCGCGCCAGCCCTGTGATTCTGTAAAAATTCGAATTAATTTCAAAAAGCGGTATCCGCTCAACCTTAATTGGTAATAACTTTTCGTGGCATAAGTAAAGCGAGTTTCAAACTGTCAGGAATAAATATCTGAGACACGTATATTCAATCAATTTTGTTTTGTATTTTTATAAAAAAATTTAATCAATAGAATTTTTACACTAAATAATGTGAATTCGGACACATGAGTTAATTCTAATTTGGGTCTGGATTTTTACAGAATTGCAGGGCTGAACTAATAAATGTGTAACGTGTTTGACGGTCTAGAACTCTAAAGAATCTTTTAAAGGCACAATGTTTTCAAAGATATTTTAATTTCATATTTAAACAGTTACTGGCATGTTGAAATTTGAAATAACTTACAGGAATGTTTAAATATATAAATTTATAGTTAAAACTAACAATTATTATTTATCAACTTTCAGAGTTTTTCTGACATTTGAAACTGCAGAAATAGCTGTTCATGCTCAAACTGCTCTGGAAGGTAACGAAGAGGGCTGGAAAATGACACTTGTTAGAAGACCACCACCAACAGGTGCTTGGACGCCATCTCCCTCACCACGAAATCCACCACAGCCAAAAGATGCGAAGCGTACTTTACTAACTTATGATGATATGTTCGACTGATGTCTTATGTTATATTACACTTACATAGTTGTTAACGTATTCTATATAAATTAAAGTTTATTTAGAGTTTATTTCTTTGTATTCGGAATTTGTGATTTTGGTTTAGGCGCTCTCTTAAACCGGCTCAATTAGGGATGGATTCTATTCGCGATGCCTGAAATCACTAAACGAACTATCTAGTGATCGCACTCGGTGATTCATTGAAAAAAATACAGCCAATTTTATACAAGACTTTAAAGTAAAGATAAATTCACTCTTAAATAAACAATATGAAATATCTCTTTACAAGATATTCAGGCTTTATATTGACTGTTATATAATGTAATTTTAATAACCTTCAGCAATTAAACAATAGTCAAGTTACGTAGTTTCGGATATAAATCAGTGTTTTTGTTGTTTCTGGGCTGATGTCAGTCTAGCAGCGCCACGGCTAGATCTTTCTACTTATAATGAATTGCAAAAAAACTTCTATATCATCTTTTAGTCCGTTATTTATCAATCTAGGGCATGACGGCGATAAAAGCCTAAAGTAAATATTTTTATTGACATATAACTGATTACTGACTTATCGATATTTTGTTTTAACGAATAATGTACGAAGTAGCAGTATACTTAATATTTAAACCCCATTCTGAAAAATTCATAAAAAGTGGAATGCAATAAAATAAAATATAGATAACTTTATACAGAGTTCTATACATTGTTTTTTTTTCTATTAAATGGTTTGCCCCCATTAAGTAACAGGTCTTCATTGTGCTTTTTTGTTTGTATGCTTTCTTATTTCACTTTTTATGGTGTTTTATCACCTTGTGGGGATGCTCTTTTCCCCTTGTCATAAATATATATGTATATATATTTTCATTTCTTATATTCTTCTATAATTCGATTACAGTTGATATGGATATATCGCTTTACAAAGCACCTATATCTAATAAAAAAATCGATATTTATTGATGTCGCAGCCAACTGATTAAACTAGCCATTTAACTGGATGGCGCCATTCAATGAGGAAATATTAAAAAAATAAGCTACAAAATTTTATACCACTAGTAGCCAGTTCCACACACATCCATAAAAATTGTCATTAGTTTAAAGCGACATTACTCATACAAATTTGACATTCATTAGAGCTTAAAAACGTCATGAAACCTTAAAGGACGTTTGTGCAACTGAACGTAAACCTCACTAGATGGCGACTCTACCAAAAGTTGATTTTTGCAGGAAACTAATAGATCAAAGATAGTTATTTCCGTTCCTTTTAAGTAACATATTAATAAACTGAAATTTGCAAAGTACCTACATATAGAATTTGCATGCTATTGTTAATCTTACATCTCTTTTGTATACCCTATTCAAACGCAAATTAATTATTATTGTTGTTGATTATTGAGTTTTGAAAATGAATTTACTTTTATACACGAAAGAAAACTGAAAGGGTCGTCATGGAGAAATCAAGAAAGTCCGTAGCGACATCTAGTTCGATTTTGTAAACTCATGTTTTTTTAAATATTCCCTCTTTGCCAGTGTTGTTATGAATCTGATAACTCGGATATTGAGTTGATATTCAGTTAGTTCGAGTTACGCAAACGCAACTCGATAAGTACGAAAGAATCTTTGAATAAATTTCTTTTTATTTGTATAAACTAACTTAATGGGAGGGAATGCCTTTAAATTATTAAAAATGACATTTAGCTACGGTATAAAATAATATTACCGTGAAATACCTAGTTTCTATAAATAAAATAAATAAAAAAAGGGCTAAAAACAATAACAACTAGGTAAGTAAGTTTTATTGCTAATAGTTGATACTTGAACCTACAGCAACAAAACCAATACAAGTCTCAATTATGTTTTTATATTATATGTGATGAATAAATTAGTAAGGTTTATTAATCAGCAACAAAGGTCATAAAAACGATTATTATAATAAAAAATCAAATATACTAGGTACTCGTACAAAATAACTTGACTTCCAAAATAATTAGATATCAAATTCCGATGATTTTTTAAAAATTTTAACTTGGAGAACAGTATTATATAATCAAAATCGACTTTGTAATTTTGAATTATTATATTAAAGTTCAAGAAATGAGAAAAACATGTAAGTTGCTCTTTTTTTAAATTGCGGGCGTTTTCCCTATTTCTTGGATTTTTTAAAAAGCTTAGTAAATGATTCTTTCTTTCTGTATTTCTTTTTGGCAGTTCTTATCAGTAGAAGCGGCAAAGGATTCTGTTATCAGTAAATTACTATTAAGTACTCGATACCTACAGGCATCGATATTTTATGTATCTTTCTAACACTACTTTGACATGACAGCTGATGACGTCACAGGCCAGTAAACAGAATCGTGATTGGTTGTGACGACGACTAATTATAGGACGTTTTCGTCGTTGAATAAATTCCTAAAAATATTGCATTTTCTTTACGTTATTTTACTAAATCTAAACATGTTTTTCTGCAGATGTTAAGAAATAAGCTTTATTAGATTATTATCTATCAGGATGACCACAAATTGCAACTTATTTTCGTTAACGTCAGATACCCTATTCAGGTTTGGAATCAAGAACAAAACGCGGAACGCAGAATTCAGCTTGTATTTATATGTGTCATTATGCATCCACAAAACGAATGATATTGATATAAATATAAAAATCAATTCAGTCTAGGCTATTACATAGTACTTGTGAAAATCGAAAACTTTGCCGATGGTTCGCAAAACTAAGGCGGGGGATCTCATACTGACAAGAATCGGCAAGAAATTCAAGCAAAAGCTAAAGCAATGACTGCTTTTTTAATTACAACTATTTGAGGGAGTGTGACGACCTAACGCACACGACACCACCGCAGAGATTTTTAGAGAGCATGACTACTCTTGGTACTTAGTAAATAATATATTTCAATAAAACTGATTTCTAGAGTATGTAGGTTGTGTAGGAAGTCAATCTATTATTAACAATATTATTGTAAGAACCAAAAAGCACATACCCACCGTACGAATTAACAAATGACTCGACGTCCGCCGTCGACATACAAAATCAGTAGCAATAGTATAATAACTGTTCGTGTCTTTGTGATTTTGAAATTTAAAGTTACAACCTTGCTGTTCGTTTAGAACAGACGTTTCTTGTTGATTGCTGACTGTTTATTAAGATGATTTAATAATGAATATAAGATTTAATAACTGATTATAGTTTTTTAAAGTCTTAATTTCGAAAGCACAAGTTATTTGCACGTTACACTTTGCACAAACGTCATTTTAGCCAGGAGCCATGTTATTTTGTACGAATACCTATTATATTTGATACATATCGGGCAAGTATATAGATAATAAACGGATTTTTTATTATAATTGTTGTCTTGATGACTTTAGTTGTTGATTACATATAAAAATATTATTGAGACTTAATATAGTTTTGTTGTTGTAAGTTCAACAAACAACTAATAGCAATAAAACTAACTTACCTAGTTGTTATTGTTTTCAGAACTTATGTTAAATATTATAATGAAAAATTCCTAGACATACTATGGCATAAGTATTTTATTTATAAAACTGTTTAGCGGTAATATTATTATATAAGTAGCTAAATGCCACTTTTAATTATATCACAGCATTAAATCTATTGATTTCCATAAAGAACAATGGCCATCTGCCTAACATGCTTGGACTAGTAAAATCGAATAAAACGTAACTTGATGAAACATATGTTATTTTGTTTGTCTATACAACTAGAACAAAGAAAGACATCAAATATATTTTTAAAAGCTGGGAGTATCGAGTAATTGTGTAATATGTTTTTGAGGTTATGTCGTATTATTTAAACTGTAGCATTTTAAGTTAGAGGTATTACAGTTTGAAATATATAAAGCACACCTCAAATAATGCCTTAACGTGGTCCTAGAAGTGCATACATTCACATAATACTTCAAACTTGCTCCATATCTGATATATTATTTTTATTGACTGTAAGAAATAAAATCATTTTTTGTGAACTAATGAACATCAAAAAAATAATAGAATTTTTAAGATTGCTCTCAATAACTCTACTTTTCCATCTTACACAATAACTTATATAAAGTAGTAGTGAAATTACTAATGTCAAAAGGATATAGCAAAACAACATGTTTATTTTTCTTTTCTTTATTACAACTCTAATGAATACCTCATCACGAAAAGCTGCAGGAGCAGCTACATTCTGTTCATGTCTGGCCCATCCAAGATACCAAACTATGGTCATTATATGAGCACAGCATACCAGTGTACATCGACCAATAAAACAATTACAGCAGTGTTCTCTTATGCCAATAACCCGGATGTGTAATTATTTATTAAAATGTACACATAATATTGTTTCCTCACAATGTCTCGACTTAATTCTACCCCTTATAATTAGGACTTTATTTATATTTATGTCTAATTCTAATAAATCCAGAGAATCCGGTATTTCTCTACAGACCTCAATTCTATACTGCCCATAGAACCTAGTATGCTCCCCATAATACAGAAGATAATACAAAATCGCCGCCAAAGTTACAAAACGGTCTGCGTAGAAACACGTCTACACATACCTACTTGTCTAAAAATGGGAGGTCGCAATCGGTTATTGAATACTGTAATATAGATTCTTATGAATATTCATTAGTTTTAAATTCCATTATAAATAAACTATTCCTCTAGGTAACATCTAATTATATTAGTAATCTAATCTAAGTTTTATAATTTTCATGGATTTATATGGTTAGTAAATAATATAAGATTTGTATCAAATTAGATTAATCAGAAATAAAATTAATCTTGTTCTTTGAAAAGAGAGGGCCTTCTCTAGGAATGACATTATTATTAAGATGCGTTCAAAAATAACGTAATTTAAACTACGCTCTAAGAAATAAAGACTTATTTTAGAGAGGAATATCTTTCTTTTCCCAGCTTTTAAAAATAAATTGTTGGTATATAATAATAACATTAAACTTATACTACATTTTGGTAATAGTTCCATCTTGGTACAAGAACTTTTTTTTTCCTAGTCCATTTTGGCCATTGTTCTTTTAAAAATAACCTATGTGCTCACTTCCATTATGTGTGTCCATTTTCCTCTTTACAAATAAAACATAAATTTCTTGAAAGATTACTTTGTATTTATTGAGTTGCGTTTGCAGAACTCGAATTAATTAAATTGTAATTCGATATTAATCAGAATTATCAGAACCACAACAACACTGACAATTCTATTCTCTTTGGTTTAACGTCATGTATTGACGTTTAGATCCAACAATTTGTGCTGCCATCTAGTGACATAAATTTTTGTAGTTACTTTTTTTTTTTTTAATTACTTCCTCATTGAATCGGTCCGATTCAAGGGGTTCATGCAGCATTCCAAATCGATCTGAAAAATCGATAATTTTATTTTAAATAATCGGTTTCAGATCGACATGCCTACTTTGACTTACATCAAGTTGACGTTTAATTCGGTTAATTAATACCATCTTTTGTTTTATTACGAAAAATCAATTGAATTAAGTTTAATTTGTATTGCATTCTTTCGCATAGATATGTTTAAACATCTCATAAAATGGCCGTAGTAAAAACCCCAGTGCTCAAAGTAATTTTATGTGGCGAATACGGTGTTGGAAAAAGTTCAATTTTCCGTCGTTTCATCAATAATACCTTTGTTCCAAACTCAGATAGGCGATCGACATTAGGATTAGACCACTTTGAAAAGTTATATAAAATTGGAGACAAGGACGTCAAGGTTGTAATTTATTTTGAATATTGCCATGTTTTGAATATTCGATTTATTGATTTCGAAAACTTAAATTAATTCAATTACAGTTACAATTATGGGATACTGGAGGAATGGAGAGGATCGCTTCTGTTACATCTAGTTACTACAAATTTGCTGAAGCAGCAATTTTAGTGTTTTCTTTAGATAACTCTTCATCATTTCACGTGCTAAGTCAACATCTGTTAGACATTGTTACTTATGCTGAGAATGCCAAAATATTTTTATGCGGAAACAAATCAGACTTAGAAGGCACCTCTCCACAAGTAACTGACGCTGATATTGAAACATTTTGGTGAGAAATTATAATTATTTTAGACACTGGAGACCTAAGCTCTAGAATAACCATGCATTTTCTTTTTTAGCGAACAATGCCATAATCTTATCAACACAACCTACAAAACATCATGCAAGACAGGTAAAGGATTAGAAGAAATGTTTTCTGATATTGCTTTACAGCTGGTGGAGTCAAATCGATCAAGAATTGAATTGCAAACTTTAGATCACAATAGTTTTAAGATATCTAATCCTGAACCCATAGAAGAACCATCATGTAGCTGTTAATGTTTTTTAATTGCTTGACATGTGATAACATTAAAGAGTCAAAAGATTCAAAATGTTAATAAGTTATTTATAAAAATCTCAAACATACTTCTTTACTAAATATAGACTGCTAACAAATTTATTGGGATTGTCATTAATAAGATTACACTATAGTTATATCTAAGAAGCTTTAAATTATGGCCAGATATTTTTACTACATTACTATATTTTGTAAATCGTTGTTTAATATTTATTTTATGAGTATAATAGTTATTTCAATAAATACAATATGAAAGGATTTTACTAAATTCTAAATATGTGAGGGCTTAGATAAATCTTTTTGAATGAAAATTATTCAAATTTTTACTCTGATTATAAATGAGAAAATTTTCAGCAATGTATAATTTGTTTTAGAATACTTGACTGTGTTTAGCTGAAAAAATGTAACAAAAGTAATATTTAAGGATTTAAGGAGGATAGTATTAAAAAAAAATGTATTGGAGTTGCTTAAAAAAACAGTGTAAACAATGTATCTCAGCAGCACAGTTGTATCTCATAAACACTAGTTACTATCTGACTTAGTTTCCAAGGACATGTCCTTGGAGTCCCTGATTCATTCCATGAAGTGATTTATACTTGTATTTTAATTTTAAAGTGACCACTGTCTAATTCAATTGAATTTCCATGTATGATTTGAAAAGAGTTTTTCTCAATACAAGACACTTATGAACCTGTACCTTGTAGTGTATGGCAAAGAAACTGTTGCAAAAAAATCTTGATGTAATGCACAACACAAGACATTGTGGTTTTTCTCTTTGCATATAATATGTTATTTGATTTTAAGACATTATAGCACATTGTTTTGTTATTTATATACTGTGATAGTGCCACAAAATGTTCTTATTTTGCTATTCTACTTTTATCTTTTTGTGCTATTTAACAAGGTAACTTGGTTGCTTCACAGCTATCGTAGTTCAAGATAATTGCATTCATATTACATTACCATTGCAAATGTCTATGTATGTTGCAAGCACTAAAATATATCCATTATTAATTTGATCAGATAATATAAAACAAAGTCCATTTTTAAGATTGCATTCTTAAGTGTTAATAAAAATAAGTGTGCCAACTTCTAGAAAATAAAAATGTATCAATGGTATCATAATAATTTTAACATGCTTTGTAATACAAGTATATTCTAAATTTCATTTGTTGTATTTGCGAGGATTGGTTTGATTTAAATAAATGACACATTAAGCCAATGAGCTTTTTAAATTAACAAATATATTTTCACTTTTTCAGAGCACAAAAATTAACATGTACATAATTTATAATACATGAATATTAGAAGTGTGTAGCACAACAATTCTTACTTTGTTGAAATATATTTCTTTTATTATCATATCATTTAAATAAGTTGGTAGTTTGTTCCAGTATGTTTTTGTTACTTCATTTATTGTTACTGAAAAACTGCTCTCAAGCACATTTTTAAAGCACCCAGTTTTCATCCTTGACAGTCAGCATCAAAAACATCTATTGGTTACATTGAACCATATTAAATATAGCATTTTCCAATACATATATAGTTTATCTATACAGCAGACAGATAAATTGTCATAAACAGTAAGCCTGTATTACGTACATATAAATGGACTGCCTGATGGTAACAAATTGCAAAAATTGTCGCTAATGTAATTTGGTTAAGTGAGTACTGCATGCTTATGAGTAAACTCGTAAATTAATTTTTACACTGCTTTGGAGGATTCGGACTATAAATAATTCGCTTTTATTTAATACAAACGTCACGCTAACAGTGATTCTTAACCCTTCAGTCATTACAACTAATTAAGTCATTATAACAGCTGTCAAAACTCGACATAATTGTGAAGCTCCTTTAAAATTAATGCATTGAAATCAAAGCTAATAAATATATGGAAATAAATCTAAATGTAATTATTAACTATTACGGTGAACTTTTTTACCATATTGACATAGCAAACCGTCATTGTGTCCGAATCGCAATGAGGTAGTGTAGCAAACCGTCATTTTAAGGTCCGAATCGCATTTGCATAGTTATCATAGTACTATTTAAAAATAATTATTAGCCTCGCAATTTTTATCGTCAAGGAAATGCTTTTGGCACTTTCCCTTTTACCTGGCTAGCAACAGGTGGTGTGTGAGACTCCTCCGTGTACCCACTCGGCAGGTGAGCTGCCCAGTGAGTTCCCGGAGGCCTACCCACCAAAACCCCTACGGTGTACTCTGACGTGGGAGATGAGACCCAGGAAGCCGTGACACTCGTCCCTATTCACAATTTTTATCCCGACTTTATTTTAAGATTTAAATTCCTGATATGAAATTAGGTTAAATATAAGCTACGCTAGACGCGATAGTAAATTTTTAGGTCAAAATTGTGTGATCATTTCTATGTAAAAATGTAGATAAATTTAGATATCTAATAAATAAAAGCACAAACGTTGCATCCAATTACCACCAGTAGTGAGCGGATCACCAATTGAAAATTACTGCTTTACGATATGAACAGTCACACAGTGGCGTTTTTAGGTAACCACTAAATGTCAAATATTTGTGGGTATAATCAATATAGGACTGAGTTTTCAGTATATTAGTTTGAATTTTGTTTTGAATTACTATGTTATTTTCAGAAATAAAATTTAACTTGGGCGAAATGGTAATTAAAAGTATAAATTACCTCTCTGGGAAAATATTACAAAGCAATAGACTAACTGGATGAATTGTTAAAAGTTGTGTTGTAATGTACAGACTAATACAAATACGTACTAAATAAAATTGAAAATAATTTTTAACATCAACTCTAGCAGGAATGAACTGATTTAACAAAACAATATTAATGCTGTGACCACTGGATCGTTTTTATATCTACTCCTTCTTGTACCATTTCCCATAGTGGGCTCATCTCCCTTAATCTTTCCACATGTTTGATGGTTTTCTCAGCTGTATAATCAACTTCTTCCATAGTAGTAAATCTTCCTAAGCCAAATCTGCAACAAAAGTAGCAACAATTAATTTCTAAGATAATATATGGCTTAACTGATATCAAAACTGAGATATCTGGACATCTTTATTATTAAAAGTGTTCTGGCTAAAGTGTGGAGCTAATATACTTGTGTCATTATAGCAATATCAAAAATATAAGATGGATAAACTTAAACATGAAAACTGAGCGTTATGAAGAAATTAATGGTATGGGTGTTGTGAAGAAATTAATGGTGTTGTGGTACAAGTGGGAAAAACTTTATTTGGGTCTGAGCAATGTATATGTGATGTTGTCTACTAAAAATATTATCTATTTTAACACTTTACCAATTGAATATTCAATATCATGTTTAAGTAATAAAATCTCTATCAATGTCAAAATCATGATATCATGAGTCAAAATAAAATAACATTTGCCTGTCAACTGGTAATATTTGTAATGTTTGCTATGATTTTTCTATTGCACTGCAAAATATAATACAAAAACTTCAAACACACATTTTTTTGTAGATACCCAGATCCAAAATTAAATAGCTAAGCTCTTGTGTTCTTGAAATAAGAAACAACAAATATAATAGCAACCTGGGTGTTGATGCACCTTAATTATTAATACTTAAATATATCAAATTATTTCTTATGGCCATGTCCCAAACAGACAAATTAATAATGAAACAGGGGCTGGATGAAAGAGACCTATTTTTATTTTGAATGACAGTAAATATTTCATACTGTTATACCTTGTCATCTTAAAATGACAAAATACATCAAAAATACCTTATTGAGCTGTGTGCTAAATCTTCATCAGTGCCTATAGCTCTTAGCACATAGGATGGCTCTAAAGATGCCGACGTGCAGGCTGAGCCACTAGATAGGGCAACATCTTTTAAAGCCATCAATAGCGATTCACCTGAAAATATAATATATATTATTTCTAGTGTTAATGAAACATCAGTGACCTCAATCAAATTGAAAATAAATGCTGGATATCAGCTACTTCTCAATAATAATGACCATTACCTTCAACATAAGCGAAGGATAAATTTATGCACCCAGGATATGTTTCATGTGGATCACCATTTCTTATAACATGTGTGAGTTTTGAATAGACTTTATCCAAAAATCTCTTTGATAATTTTTCCATCCAAGCATGATCATACTTCATTTCATGAGCAGCAAGTTCACAGGCTTTACCTATGAAAAGAAATTGACATATTTTAAATGTAGTTTTATAATATTTTTTCTACTGATATTTGCACTTGATAAAATAATATGTACATTGCATTAATTGCATGAATCAGTGATGCTAATGGTATTTTATAGCAATAATAAAATTCTTACCTAACCCTACTACCAAAGGAGTAGGCACTGTTCCACTTCTCATGCCTCTTTCTTGCCCTCCACCACTCTGTATGGGTTCCACTCGAACTCTAGGCCTTCGCCTAATATACAAGGCTCCTACTCCTTTTGGACCATAAATTTTATGACCAGAAATTGACATTAAATCGATATTCATGGTATTTACATCTATTGGGACTTTGCCTATAGCCTGAGCTGCATCAGTGTGGAAAAATATCTTTTTACTTTTACACAATGCACCAATTTCAGCGATGGGTTGTTTAACACCTGAAATATGTAACCACCATTAATTTGATAAGCAAAAATCAGAAATGTATACATATAGATGAGTTATGTATGACTTTCTTTTATATATTCCTTTACCTATTTCGTTGTTTACCATCATAATAGAAACAAGGCTGGTTTCAGGAGTGAGTGCATTTTCAAGGTCTTTCATATTGATTATACCATTATGACCAACAGGTAAATATGTTACTTTGAATCCTTCCCCTTCTAAAGCACGACATGAATCTAATACACATTTATGTTCCTAGAAAAGAATCAAATTAAATTTCCAAAAATTATTATGTTCATTCAAGTAATTAATAAAAATATCTTACAATCTGGGTGGTGACTACATGCTTCTTCCTTGGAACATAAAAACGTGCCACCCCTTTAACAGAAATGTTATTAGATTCTGTAGCTCCAGAAGTAAAAATAATTTCTTTAGGGTCAGCACCAATCAAATTGGCAACTTGCTCCCTTGCTTTCTCTACTGCAGCCTCACTTTCCCAGCCATAAGCATGTGTTCTTGAATGTGGATTCCCATGATAACTGACTAAATATGGTAGCATGGCATCAAGAACTCTAGGATCCTGTAAATAAGATGTTAAAATAAACTGACTATGAACTGGCAAGTAATCATTTTCTTAAAATTTGGCTGCTTACCATAGGTGTTGTAGCTTGAGCATCAAAATAAAGTGGCCTCCCATTTTCTTCATCCTTTATTGAAAATTTACTTTCCTCTGAAATGAAATTTTTGTAAGGAGGGAATTGAAACAAAACAAGAACAGTAGCATGTTTTTTTACCACATCGTTTTTCTACAGTTAATTTAAAAACTAATGAAGAACTTTGATAATTTAAAATAACCTGAAATGCTCTAGACAGTATTTTGGTTAACTATAAAACAATAAAATAAAACCAAAATATTTACTTAATTTTTTTAACATTTTTTTTTCCTCAGGTGGTGCCGCAATCAGTCTCACTCACCTTTACACATATTTGTTCAAACTAAGTTATTTCTTACCGAATAAAATTATTTGAAAAATAAGTTTCTAAAATTTTTATAATAATTTTGTTAATTAATTTTTTATTTATTTATAAACTATTCTGATCTACCGTGAATATATGGATAAACAATTAGATTACTTCTTCATAACTAGATGCAAGATTGCTATAGGGCAAAATATAAAAATTACAAAAAAAATATTTACCAGACATTGAAAACATTCGTTTTGTTTGTAGGATTATCAAAGCATCGTGATTTGCAAAACACTTATTTGTTTTTGATATTGCCGTAATTAGTTTTTTAGAAAGACGGAACATTTTATAAGTTTTCTAAATCTTTGTTTTTAAAATTTTTAATTATAATTGACAGCATTAGACAGCAACACAGGACAGCAACAACATCACAGAACAACATCAATGGATGAATGAATGCACAATGAATGGTTGCCAGACAGGGGTTGAGATCCGAAATCGATTAATCAAAAATAAGAAGTTTTTTTAAATCAATATGTAATGAGGAAGTATTTAAAAAATAAAAATTAGTTCTTGAAATCATACTAGATGTCACTCGCGAGTTTTGGATTTTGTTTATGATATTCATTCAAATTTTATTTCTGACGTAATAAAATTAAATTGAGTATTTTCGATTAATAAATATGACATCGTTTTGTGTTTCTTATAATGTCTCACTTTCAAACTAATTTTAATTTATTTTAATTGTAAGTTTAAGTTGTTTATTATATTACGTGTAAAGGAACGATGTTTGGTTGAAACGTCAACATTAGTGATGAGCCAACTTATTGGTTGCTCGTAACTTTCGTCGAATTCAGGTTTGGAATGGAGAACAAAAATGATGATGAAGATGAAGTGTCATTATGCATCCACAAAACGAATGATATTAATATAAATATCAAAATTATATTCAATCTAGACTGTTACATAGTACTTGTGAAAGTCGAAAACTTTACCAATGGTTCGCAAAACTAAGGCGGGAGATCTCTTACTGACAAGAAACGGCAAGAAACTCAGCAAGGGCTGCTTTTTTAATTTCAACTAAACAACTCAACTATACTATATTTGAGGGATCGTAACCACCTAACGCACACGATACCACCGCAGAGATTTTAAGAGACCATAACAACTCTAGGTACTTAGTAAATAATATATTTCAATAAAACGGATTTCTAGAGTAGGTTGTGTAGGAATTCAAATTATTATTAACAATATTATTGTAAGAACCAAAAAGAACAAACCCGCCGTACGAATTAACTTAACACATGGCTCGACGTCCGCCGTCGACATGCAAGATCAGTAGCAATATAATAACTGTACGTGTCTTTGACATTTGAAATTTAAAGTTACAACCTTGCTGTTCGTTTAGAGCAGACGTTTCTTGTTAATTGCTGAATGTTTATTAAGATGATTTAATTATGAATATAAGATTTAATAACTGATAATAGTTTTATAAAGTCTTAATTTCGAAAGCACAAGTTATTTGCACGTTACACTTTGCACAAACGTCATTTTAGCCAGCAGTTATGTTATTTTGTACGAATATATAGTATATTTGATACATATCGGGTAAGTTTATAGATAATAAACGGATTTTTCTTAAAAATTATTGTTTTTATGACTTTTGTTGCTGATTAATAAACCCTATTCATTCATTCACCATACATAATATAAAAAAAATATTGAGAATTGATGTAGTTTTGTTGTTGTAAGTTCAACAAACAACTAATAGCAATAAAACTAACTTACCTAGTTGTTATTTTTTCAGAACTTTTGTTAAATATTAAAATGAAAATTCCTAGACCTACTATGACATAAGTACCTATTTTATTTATAAAACGTAATATTATTGTATACCGTAGTTAGATGCCACTTTTAATTATATCACAGCATTCAATTGATTTCCATAAATTTAAAAAGCCTCTGTGCTCACTTCCATTATGTTAGTTTCCATTTTCCTCTATACAAATAAAAAATAAATTTATTCAAAGATTACTTTGTATTAATCGAGTTGCGATTGCATAACTCGAACTAGTTAAATTTCAACTCGATATTAATCCAAGTTATCAGATCCATAACAACACTAACAAATCTATTCTCTTTGGTTTAACGTCATGAATTGACGTTTAGATCCAACAATTTGTGCTGCCATCTAGTAAGATAATTTTTTGTAGTTTCTTTATTTTTTTTAAATACTTCCTCATAAGGAAGTATTAAAAAAATATATTAGTTTCCGAAATCAAACTAGATGTCGCTACGGTACGTTGTTGATTTCTCATTAAGTGAACTGATATTCCATCCTTGTAAATCATTTGATATTTTTTGTTTTGGTAGAAACCATAAAAAGTATAGTATGTGTTTATAGTACTTTTTACTGATTTAGTATAAAACGTGCTATTCGAGTAATTTAGGATAGTTTCGGTAGTAAAAAATATCTCACGATTTCGATCTCTATTTTAATACCCTATTTTAAAGAAATAGCTATAAATGATGTACACATTACATAATATATAATTTTGACCTACAATAATATTTATTTATGTAATCAAGAAAGTCTAAAAATAAGCCGCATAATTAAATAAAGTAAAACGTGTGACATTGAGTAGAAAGACAATCATATCGATGGCCCAAACTTGATTACTCAAGTATAGAGACTCATGTGATATTTTTCACTTGACATTGAGTGTGAAAAATTCACACGATTCACTGGTGAAAAAACAGAGCTCAAATCACATCACTCTTTAAAAAACAAAGAAATTAATGATGTGCCGTTTCGATTATTTAAACACATCAATTAATCGATTATAGTTATACTCGTAAACGATAAACAATCAAAAATTTATCGATTCATGGCAATGATTATTAAATATTTTTACCCAAAAAGTTTATTAATGATTTCAGATTAATTCCATCATATTTTAAAGCCATCTAAGTTAATGAATAATACTTAAAAATCCATTTTAAAACAATGGTTACCATACACATGATCATTTTATTTTATTTTAGGCGCCGCTAAAAAGTTTATTTTCTGATTTGAACGTCATTTGGTGAATATTTAATAATTTATGTAGCAACATATAAGTGTATTAAGAAAATCTATGGTAACTCCATCCCTAAGTTACGGCCCAATTCATGCAGTGAATCAACCTATTTGGACAATGTGAAATCATTATTTTCTATTAACTATTGATATTTTAGACATCTCAATGTCAAATACAGAGATAATTTAACCGAGGAAGCTCGTCGATGCAGATTAGGCCCAATTTGAGTCTATTCGGTGCATAGCATAATAAATACATAGTTAACAAATTATAATTGGATTTTCACAATATTATTATATTATTTGTCCACTAGGGACGCTAAATTATAATAAGGTGCTTTGGGGTAATACCCAAATCAGGCAAATTCTGAAAGTGATGAATTAGCAACAAATCAGGCATTTTGTGTTAGTAAAGTTGACTATTCAACAGGCGTTCACTAGATAAAAGACTTTTAATTACAAAAAATACATTGTTTTTTGTTAAATATGATTATCGGAATTACCCGCTTTCGTAATTACCCCAAAGTACCTTACCGAAGGCTAGGCAGTAAACAAAAAAACCCTTTGCCTTTGTTTTATTTGAGATGTTTTCTTTTTTAAATTGAGTTTTAAGGCTGTGCCTTAGAGTAACTACTTAGTAGTGGGCTATTAGGTGTGCCACCGTAAGGGACAACAAATAAATCATCAGTGTTACCAGGTAGTTAAATGTTTCTCGATTATGGGGAGATATTTTGTTATTAGCAAAGGAGCAATAATTTGGTCAGCATAATTTGTAGAACTGTTCAGAAACTATCAACTTTTCTGCGATTTCACCAAATTATAGCTGTAGTCAACCACGTGTGATGTAACTTCCCATGAATGAAATAATTAGTAATAGAGGAACATTTTTTTATTGTAGAAATATTGATACACTATCTATCATCTTAAATTAACTAGCATATTGAATCAATGGGCTTGGTTACTGAAGTTAAGTTTGACTAAATTAGAATATTCTGAAAAAACTCTAATTTAGACAAACAAAACTATTTTGAAAATTTAGTTCAACCAAAATTTAAAAAAAAATGTATATAGACAATAAAGAAAACCGTTTAAAAGAGAATAACGTACCTATTTAATGATAAAATTATGTTTAGAAAGGCAAGTAAGAAACATTTTGATGATGTTGGGCTAACGTCTGTCCAGCAGCGCCACTGTATGTTTACTCAATAGCTGTTAGAAAGACCATTTTTTATAACCTTAGGTCATTTTAGAATGAAATAAAACGTTGTAACTATTTACACAAGTTGATATTTCGTAGATCTTAGTAACCACAGAGTATTTTATCATTCTGACTAATCCAATCGAATATTTTAGTCTCATATTTAGTGACGAATCCAGAATTTTAATAATTAGTGATCGAAAACAAATATGTAAGCCTATTTTGACTTTGATCAGTAATTACTCAGATTCTGGATTTCATTACTTCAAGACAGTATTAGCAGAGCACGTATTAGTGTTTTCGAGGTATGGGCGTTTGAACACCACTGCCGTCGTATCCGTTATCCTGGTCGATTTCATAAAGAAACTTGACGGTTATCGTTAGTCCACCACGATACTTCGCTCGAATTCTAGTATCAGTCCCAGAAGATTTCTTATCTCAAACTAGAATATCTATAAACTAGCTATTTTCACGCGACTTCGCTCGTGTAAACTGTAGCCTATGTCAACTGCGTATGTGAAAGAGTTTTTAAAATCGGTTCAGTAAATAAAATCTTTAATTTTTATAATATTAAGTATAGATAAATAAACATTCAACAACATCACATACATGGCTCATATTGTAAGATGTGTATTTTGGAGTATTAAACCCCGTATTTTAGACTATCTGTGACAACAAAGGTACCATAATACCCAGAACTCCCAGACTCCAGACAATAAAAGAAAGTTAATTTTCAACATTTTTGGTTTTTTTAATAATAAAAATTAGTGTAAATCATTACATCTGCAGACCTATTTTAATCTATTCTGCCGATGTACGCTGTTGAGTGTGTGAGATTTATTAAGAGCTATGACTTAATAGAAAAATCAATTAACAATTATAATAAAAATAATTATAAATTACTAAACCAATATTAAATAAAGTTACAGGTTGGGTGAAATCAAAGAGGGTACTAAAATAAAAAGCATTTTACTTCGTTTCCACAAAAATTTTACAAATAATTAGATATATCACATGTATTAATCACATATTGAAATTATAAATTATGCTACTTATAAGTTAAAATAAACTACTCGATCACAAAAAATAAATAAATTGTCTACTTAACTGCAGCAAGTACACAAGAGGGTGACACAAAAAAAGGGGCCGTGAC